GCATGGAAAATTCTTGACATTCAGGATAAAAGCACCGTGGCCTCATGTGATGTGATTTTCTACGAGCGACAGACACTGCAGCATTACCTGGACAACATCGCCAACACAAAAGACCCCACCGACGGCTTTGAAGGCCATCGGTCCTTCGCCGACTGTGCTGCCGAAGCTGACGCAGCAGAAGAAGACGTACCTGAAGCCTCGGAAGCTGCCAGACCACTCCCTTACTGCTCCGTGCCCGTTTCACTCGACGACGACAATCCTCTCGATAGTAACAACCTTGACACTTATTACCACTTCGCAGACCAAGGTTACACCACACCTCAACCGGTCAACACCAATATCTCCGAACGCATCGGACCTAATTTCTTACCTGACCCAGAGGACGGAGACGAAGCAGCTTATCCCGAGAATGACAATTCCCCTCGACACATACCCACGAGCCTGCAGATACTTGGACTATGGGTCGCCGTCCAGAGCCCGCCGCCGCCGTCACCGCGCGAGCCAACGACTCTGTCGCAGCCTCTTGGGGGGGAACACAAGGCGAAATGGAAGGAAGCAATGGAAAAGGAACTGAAGGCCCTGCAAGACCGACATACGTGGAAGCTGGTACCTGCAACAAAAGCCAACGCGAAGAATGTGCTCTCGGGGAAATGGGTGTACCGCATCAAGACTAATGCGGATGGCTCCATCGACCACTTCAAAGCTCGCTGGGCCGTACGAGGATTCGACCAGCGATATGGAACAAACTATACGAAGACATTCGCCCCAGTCTCCCGACATACCTCCCTGCGCATCCTGCTCGCCGTCGCGGCCACGAAAAAACTACCACTTCGCCAGATCGATGTCGCCAACGCCTTCCTGTACGCACCTGTGGACGCCGAAATCTTCGTCGAGCAGCCCCACGGATTCATCGACGATCTCACAAAAGTGTGCCAGCTAGTAAAATTCCTCTACGGAATCAAACAAGCCCCGCGGCTCTAGCAGCAGCACCTTCACGGCCGCCTCGTCAGGATCGGCTTCCTGCAGCTACCGCACGATCAAGGAATGTACCGGCTACAGAAGGAGGGGGATTTCGTCCTACTCATCGTCTACGTCGATGTCCTGCTCTACGTCGGCTCCACTACCGACGTCGTCACCTGGTTCGAAGGGGAGCTGAGGAGTGACTTAACACTCACGGTGTCAGACACCGTGAGCCAATACCTAGGTCCAAACGTCGTCGAAGACGAATCGGCGTTCTACCTACACGCCGGAAAGTACGCAGGCGTTGTCGCAAAAAAGTTCGGACTAACGTCGGTCGCAGTCGCAACTCCCTATCGCTACGGGAACAACAGCGACACCTCCGCAAAACTCCCCGCGAAGCAAATCCAGGAATATCAACAGAAGCTCGGCTGTCTACTATTCGCAACAGTAACCTGCCGACCGCACCTGTCCTAGAGCGCGAGCCAACTGGCGAGACACCTGAAGGAGCTGGAGCAAGAGGATCTCGAGGAGCTGAATCGGGCACTACTCTACTTCGTCTCTACGCCGACGAACGGACTTACCTACAGCAAAGCAACGCCATCGTCCGTACAACTACTCGGCTATGTCGACGCCGACCACGCGGGAGATAGGGAGAATCGTCGCTCCAGAACAGGCTACATCTACCGACTAGAGCCTATCGGTGGTAGCTCCTGGCAATCGAGTAAGCAGGAACTTATCGCGCTATCCTCGGCTAAAGCGGAATACATCACCCTCTGCTCTGCAACCAAAGAAGGACTTTATCTGTGGGAGCTGCTCGAGGAATCGAAAATTGCGACCATGCCCGCCTTCTCATTATTCTGCGACAACCAATCCGCAATCAAAATCGTGAACAAAAACGGGTTCGCCAATCGAACCAAGCACATCGCTCTGCGGTATTTCTTCGTCAAGGATGAGATTACGAAGGGGAGACTTCAACTTAGTTACTGCCCCACGACAGAAATGGCTGCAGATTAACTGACGAAGAAACTGGCAAAGGCAAAGTTCGATTACTGCATGTTGCTGACCGGGCATATAAACGTTACCGAGTCCGGACATGTCAGCACTCTAGAAACGAAGGGGAGTGTTGGAAATACCTCGAGGACTTAAGCGTTTCTGAAGTGTAACACTACACTCGAGGAAAGTCTTCTCGAGTACGCGGGTCAACGGAGGTTACACGAGGAGGTTGGACGAAAGAATACGAAAGGGCGAAGGGACTTGAAGGGTCGCAACCGGAGGTTGCGACTGACCGTTGCGACTGCAAGGATGGTAACTGAACCGACGATCGAGTCGCTGTGCGACTCGATAACCGTTCCTTCAACTGTATTCTACAACTGCTCTATTTCCTATTCTCCATATATTCATGTATGCTTGCTTCTTTTAATCAATCACTTGCTCTCACATACTAGTGCAAGGGTTCAACTACTCAACACTTCCGCTGCACTACTCAAGCATCTTGTACAAGTGGGACTTAGTCTCTGAAAAGATCCCAAGGGCTTTTCTCAACCCAACAGTAGTGATTCACTACCTGCGGTGTATACGAGTGCTCCTTGCGGGGATGGGTGGATGTTATAACTTTGGTAATCTCTCCAAACCATACCCCTCCATATATATGTGCCTTGTTGGGCTGGCATAATGAACAACGTATTAGGCTACGCTTATGGCGTAATATACTTGTGGTTATTATTGTCGAGAAGGTAGAACAACTAGGACACCATGACTATGGTAGCGGGGTTTAGCTAGGAGGTAGGCGAGAGGAATGTCGAGAGAGAAGAGAGTGTTCAACTAGAAGAGAAACAGGTACAAGAAGGGGAGTTATCCCCTTTACAGTAGGAAGCAGTTTGTAGCACAACTATCAAGCCTACAATTATATAAAATATAATTTGAACAATTATGTGCTATGAATAATGGTTTCAACCTCACATTAAGTTTTCCGGTAATATAACCGAACCTTCCTACTAGTAAATGTTTGTAACATAAAATATATCTTATTTGGAATCACATTCTCACGTGACATGCACATTATGGCTCTCCCTAATTTGTGTTTAGGTCCAAATTATTATGATAATCTTCTTAGCGGATATATGTACATTTGCTTTGTGTGGCCTCCTTGAATTCGATTTGTCCCCTTCAGGAGCTGGACACGAGTACGCGGGAACTGTTGCTTCGGTTTGGATGCGGTGTGGCGGGGCGCAGTTGTGTGAGTGTGTCAGACAGGGCCGAAAGCAGAACAAATCCCAAGGCTTGAGAGGGTGATCAGGGAAGGGAGGGAGAATCGAGTCAGAAATACAAATCCCGAGGCGGGAAAAGCCAGTAAGAAACGAGTGAGTGCCACAGACCGATACGCGAGCAAGCCAGAGCCTTGCGAACGTATTCCCAGGCGAATCCCACGAGTCTCCTCCTCCCTTCCACTACTTGTCACGTTGTACTGTGCATGGGTATGACGGCAGTAGCGTCGCCTGGGAAAAGGCGATGCATTATAGGCTATGCGTGATAAGTGTGTGAGCAGCACGCGGCTATCTCTGCCGGTCCCGCGAGTCGCGTATGATTTCAGCATTCGAACTCTCTACTCGTTCCCTTGAGTCAAACGACGTGACGGAACCCTCTTTTTGAACTTGTTACAGAGTAAACCCTCTGGTTTTAGAAACCCCCCTTCACTTCCCTGATCAGACTCATTCGGCTATTTAGACTCGCTCGGCTCGTTCGACTCATTCGGCTCGACTCGTTCGGCTCACTCCACTCATTCCGCTCGTTCGGCTAATTCGCCTCCTTCGCCTCCTTCGGCCTTCCATGTCCACTCGCTCTCTAACCGCCGTATCTGCGAAGGCACCAGCCAGCTCAATTGCCTTTCCGGGATGGCGTTTCGCGGATCCAGCGCGCGGCGGCTCGCTGTTCTGGTCCTCGTTCTCGCGCTCGCCTCGCTGGCCAGAACCCAGCGACCTAGGGTAAGGCTAAATCTGGAAGCGCCTCGACACCGCCCAGACCGCGCTACTCAGACCGACTTGGACGGCCGTGGCCAAGTGGATTTTTTGGCGACTTGTACTCCTTGTGTTCTCGATATTTCAGTAGGCTGTATTGGCAGGCTTCCCCTTTTTTTCCTCCTTCCCTCACCAGTTCCCCTCAACTTCCCCTCTGGCTTCCTCTCCTCCCACCTCTTTTTAAACCCACACCCCAGCCACCCAGCCCCTTCCCCCTATCTTTCCGCCTCCCCCAAACGTTACCCCACACGTTGTCGTTGAAAATTCATTACAATTGAAGTAACTGAAACCCGGCGTTTCCGTGCCGCTGGCAGGAGCGGGGGCTGCGACACCGGGAGCCCGCGTCACGGTTCCTGAACTTTGGCTTCTCGGAGTCAGACGAGATGTGCGGATCATGGGCTAGCGACTACATTGCCCTGCACAGTCGCATTCTGGAGCTCAGCTTGGACGCCTATGTGGCACGGCAGCGGATGGGAACGGCAGAGGTGTATGAAGCGGAAACGGAGAAGGAGGTGGGGGAAGGAGAAGTCAGGGGAGGGGAAAAGGAGGAGGAGCAGGAGGAGGAGGGCAAGAAGAAGCCAACGCAGAAGCCGAAGCAGAAGCCGAAGCAGACGCCGGAGCAGAAGCCGAAACAGACGCCGAAGCAGAAGCACGAGCAGGAGCCGAAGCAGAAGCCGAAGCCGAAGCAGGAGCAGGAGCAGAAGCAGAAGCAGCACGGGTTATGGCGGCGGAATCTGCAGGAGACATATCTTAACACCTCTTCCTCCTCCTCCTCTTCCTCCTCCTCCTCCTCTTCCTCCTCTTCCTCCTCCTCCTCCTCCTCCTCTTCCTCCTCTTCCTCCTCTTCCTCCTCTTCCTCCTCTTCCACCCCAACCCCCACCCCCAGCACTCTCCCTCCCCCACACGACCCCTCCATCCGCTTCCTGACCTTCGAGTGGCTCAACGGCTGCGGCGGCTACGCGGACGTGCTAGTGGGAATCGTGACCGCCTTCGTCGTCGCTCTGCTGGACGGCCGAGCGCTTATCATCCGCAACGAGTGCCTACCTGCCGCCTTCCAGCCCAATATGATTAACTGGCAGGCTGGACCTACCGTGCCGTTGGAACCTGCGAGGAGGCTCGGTTTTCGGCACGATAGTGAGGGGCGAAGGGTTCCTGAGAAAGCGAGGGATGGAGAGGTGGTATTTGTGCAGCTGATGAACAAGTTTGTGAAGCTAGAGCCCTTTTTTGGGGAGCTAGAAGGGGCGGTGAATATCCGCATGGTGAGCAACCGCGGCGTGCTGACGTGGCTGCAGACTAAGGCGGAGGGCGCGTGGGCGGAGAGGTTTAGGGCGATGGGCTTTCGCCTGCCGTATGCGCTCGGGTGCGCCGTCCGATTCCTCATGAAGTGAGGAACGGGAGAAGAGGGGTGGAAGGGATGGGGAAGGGGGGAGGAGGGAGGGGTGGATGATGGGAGACCATGGGAAACGACAGGGGAAGAGTGGAGTGAGTGGAAGAAGGGTGCGGGGGAGGAGGTTAGTCTAGAATCTTTCCGAGGAAAAATGCTCGAGAGGTCAAAAATGTCATTACTCCCCTTTACCCCTTCTCTTACCTATTTACCTTTTCTTTTTTGCACGTGTTTCCTTCCGTTCTCTCCTTTCCCCCTTCCCCCCACAATCCCCGACCCCCATCTTCCGCCCATTCCCACACCGCGGACACCAGGCCGAGGCCAGAGGTACAGGAACTATTCCACAGCATAGAGCTGCAGCTGAGGACGCCGCCCCCAACGGGGAGAGGAGAGAGGCGGCGGGGCGTCGCGACGCTGGGGATTCACATCCGGGTGAAGGATGCGGTGGTGTGGGAGGGCGACAGGGGCGCGCCCAAGGAGCTGAGTGCCGAGATGGTGCAGAAGCTTGTTGGGAGCGCCAGCAGATGGCTCCACTGCGCTAGGGTGAGGAGGGGGGAGGGGGGGAAGGGGGGGGGGAGGGTGGGACGGGGAGGGGTGGGAAGACGAGGATAGGGAAGGAGTGGGAGAGTTGTAAGAGGGAGACGTGGGGCAGAGGGATCGGGGAGTGTTGTTGTTACCTACAAAATCACTTTATTGGGCATTTTTCAAATCGTTTCAAGATAGGCATCCTCTCACTACTTCCTTCTCCCCCACCCCCTCATCCCACCACGTCAGCGTGTGGAGTCGTACTGGTTCCCCTCGTCGCTTACTGTCCGTTGGATGCTCATCACCAACTCAGCTCAACTGAAGGCCGCCCTCAAATCAGATTTCCCCGACAAGGTGTGTGTGTGCGTGCATGCGTGCGTGCGCCTGTGAGTGCATGTGTGTGTGCTTGCCTCTACTTCTGCCTCAATCTCCACCTTTCATGGCTAATTCCACAGAACTAGCCTCCTGATGGTGATGATGCCTGATGTCCATATGACTTCTCATTCATCTAGGCATCCTGCGGCCTTGCAAACCCCACTCTCTCTGCCTCTCTTGGACCTCCCAGGTGATCACAACAGACTTCATACCTCGGCATTCCAACAGCCTCAGCTCGGATTCCCCTGGCAGCCATGGCAACAGCTCGGCTCGAAGATTGGGGGCGATTGCCGAAGAGCAACAAGACGAGGAGAAGCGTGAGAGGGAAAGATTGTTCCAAGAGGTGGTAACCGAGTGGTTGCTGCTGGCCTCTTGCGATGCGTATATTATTTCACGGTCGGGTTATTCAAGCACAGCTGTGTATTATGCCAAGAGACCCATGGCTGCTTTTGATACAGATAATTGTGACCCTGAGATGCCTTTGCAGGCGGTATATAATCCAGGGCAGGCTCGAGGTAGGGTTTAAGAAACGTTGTTACATTAGTCCTCATGTGGCTTGTAAGAATGTATATCGATCAAGTCCATAGTGTATACTGTTTTATTTTATATGACTCAATGTACAACGCGGACAAATTGAGAAAGCTTGCTTTCTTGTCCTTTGCAATAGGCATCGTTCTCATTTCAAGTGGCATGGTACAATAGTCGCTTACTACCGTAATCCCCCGTATAAAACACCCTATGGTGTTAATAAAAATGCAACGAAATTTTGGGTTGGGTGTAATTAAAGGCAAAAAAAATACAGCACCCAGGAGTTATGGAATGTGCATATGCTACTTTTGATTTGAATTCAACTGTACTTGTGACAGGGCATTGTTCTGAGTCCCATTCTGCTATCTGATCGCGTACCCAACGATTTGGTCCATGTGCATGCCACATCGTCTACGTACGCTGCTGATTCAGTATGCTGCCAGAGTATCCAATCAGCTTGTGCTGCAGGCAGCCACGTTGATGCCTCCAGCCCACGCTGTGCCAGCACAGCATGGGGTGGCGAAATCAACGGCACATTTTGTCGATGCCTTCTCACGACCGGCCAGCGCACGGAATCACACATTCTGGATGGTCGTGAGAGGCATTTCATGGGCGACATGGACGAGGGAGTCGCCCACGTCCCTGCCTTCCCCTCCAACCCACTCTTGAAGTGGGTCTACCCCGCTCCGTCCTCTCATTTTCAGTTTCGACTCCAGGATGCCTTCAAGACAGCCCCTGCAAGGGCTGTCTAAGGCATCCTCTAGCTCCGTCTCTGTAACGTCCCCCCGCCATGGCCTCAGGCTCTGGCTTGTCTCGCCTTCTGACTCGAAAGGGCCCTTATGGCCAGCAGACGTTTTTACTTCGTCGGTCCTTTGCCGACGGCGATGCCGCAGCGACAGACTCTACAAGCGTCGATGCTGCTGCGACAGATTCTGCAAGCGGCGACGCCGCTGCAACAGATTCTGCAAGCGGCGATGCCGCTGCGACAGATTCTGCAAGCGGCGACGCCGCTGCGACAGATTCTGCAAGCGGCGACGCCGCTGCGACAGATTCTGCAAGCGGCGACGCCACTACGACGGAAGGCCGTCGTCCCCTGCCGCGCGTCAGCGTGCCGAGTTTCCCGGAGCCCATTCGACGACCCCGTGGTCCTACCTTGAATCACGATGTCCATGCCCCCGCATCTCGAAGCAGGATGACAAAGCGGAAGCGCCGCTCGTACTCTGCCTCGGAGAAGTTGTACTGGCTTTCCATGTTCGATGCTCAACCCGACCTCTCTGTGCGTGGACTCGCAAAGCTTGCAGGTGTCCAGCCGGTGTCGATTCGGGAGTGGAAGAATGCTCGCGAACGCCTCCGTGTCGCCGCCGGCTGCCGCAAACGCCTCGTCGGTGCCGGACGTCCCGCGAAGTACCCGACGATGGAGAGCGCCCTCTACCGACAGTTCCTGAGGCACCGCGGGAGGGGGCTTGCCGTCTCCGTCAAGCTGCTGCAGAAGTGGAGTCGCTCGTACATGCGCGTACATCATCCCAACGTCGACTGGAGAGCGTCGAGTCGCTGGACGTTCAGATTCCGCGCGCGCTGGGGCCTTACGCGTCGGGTAAAGACGAAGATGGGGCAAAAGCTCGCCGACGGTAAACTGCCGTCCCATCCTTGTTATTGATTCCCTTGCCGCGACTTTCAATATTTGATTCTTTTGATTGTCTTGCTTATCGCGTGTTCATGCCTGAATTTGTTCTCTGACTGTTTTGTTCTATGCAGACATGAGGACGAAGATCGAGAAATTCTGGGAGTTTGTCAAACAGATGCGGATTCTCAACCGGTACAACCTCGACCACATCGTGAACGCCGACCAAACCCCCCTCTTCATCGAAATGCCCCAGGAGAGGACGTTGGAGCACAGAGGCTCCCGTACGGTGCATGTGAGGACGGCCGGCTATGAAAAGGAGCGGCTCACCGTCATGTTGGCAGTCACCGCGTCGGGATTGAAGCTCCCGCCGTATGTCATCTTCAAGCGGAAGACGCTGCCAAAGATTCAGGTTCCCCCGGGTAAGAATCGCCTTTGCTTTTCGCTCTGTGCATAGTGTACACCGATGCATACCCTCTGACTGTTGTTGTGGCTTGTGATTGTATCCAGGTGTCATCATCCGAGCCCAGCCGAAGGGCTGGATGGACGAGAAGCTTGTCCAGGACTGGACTACTCAAGTCCTGAACCCGTTCTTGCGCCCGCTGCGCGAATCGGGGAATAGGCGCAAGGAGGCGCTCGTCATCCTGGACTCGTACAAGGGCCACCTCACGCAAGCAGTCGGGCAGACGATGAAGCTGTGCAAACTTACCCGCGCGGTCATCCCAGGTGGTTGCACGCCTCTCGTTCAACCGCTGGACGTCGCAGTGAACAAGAGCTTCAAGGCCGGCGTGCGCGGCGACTACGGCGCATGGTTTGAGCAGTTCGGCATCGACATGAAGACTGCGGCAGGTGAGCCCCTTCCTAGTCGCTTCCTCAGTAGTTTTTAGACTTCTTGCTTGTTGACGAATTCCACCGTGCCCGTTCCTAGTCGTCATCTTACCGTGCCCGTGTTCTTCTCCTCCCATTATGCTCCCATCCCATGTGCAGGAAATCTGAAGAAGCCCCCGGCTGAGCTCATCTTGAAATGGATTGCTCGGTCATGGGAGGCTGTGCCAGAGGAGCTCGTGCGTAGTTCATTCAAGACGTGCGGTATATCAAATGCGCTGGACGGCACCGAGGACAACCTCGCTCTCCGCCACCTCCGCGGCAAGCCCGACCTCGAGGTGATGGACGATGTCCACGTCGAGGAGGGCGAGAGCGGCTACATCAACCCCCTCTACGACGCCTTCATCGATGTGGACGGGGACGTCGCCGACGACGAAGAGGCGGATGCGGCGTCGCTGGCGGCTGACGACATCGACTGTGCTGAAGCGGCAACCGAAGCAGCTGAGACGAGCGCAGACAATGCAGAGACTGCATCAGCAGCAGCAGCAAGTGTTGATGTGTGGCCGGCAGAAGGCATTGCAGAGGAGGATGACGACAACTGTTGGTGGGATGAGCTTGCAGATGGGAGCGACGTCGAGATGTGGCAGGCTGGTGATGAGGAGCCTGAGGAGGACGACTAGAGCAGTGGCAGAGGCATGAGTATCTGGCATAGTGTAAGGATTTAAAGTGTAGTGGATAATTTAGGTTCTAGGCAGAGTAGGTAGAATTCAAGCCCTAGGTGGTGCCACTAACTAGTTCTATGGTTAATTCTGTTGAGTAGTAACTACGTGTACTCTAGTTGTATTGCTAACGTCTAATTCAAGAAGTTGTATACAGGAAAACGTAGAAAAAAACGTTTTTTCATCTCGGGGGGGGGTGGTGAAATGTTTTCAAGGCCAAGGGTAGGGTGGTAACTAAATCCAGTTAAATTAAACACCCATACCCGCTCAAGCTACCCGGGGGAGCTTAATTCCGGCGGGTGTTTTATACGGGGGATTACGGTAGCTTATAAGAATCTAAACATGCACACATCATGATCCTAGTTGTGCTCTCCCGTTCAAGTGACCGGCTGTCAATTGGAGATGGGCGATTGTCTAGAGGGGGGGGGTGGGTGGGAAAGTTGACTGAGCCGTTTGAAAAATGAGAGACGTGGGTGGAGGTAAATGAGCTCCAACCCACGTATATGTAGTTGGAGAAGGGCGAGTAGCGCGCTTCGACGATGCCCAACGCTTCAGTACAATCAGCTTCGCTTTCACAATACACAATTTTTTAAAAACACTACGTGTGTTAAAAAATATAATATTGAGAAAGCTTGCTTTCTTGTCCTTTGCAATAGGCATCGTTCTCATTTCAAGTGGGGTCGTTGAGACATGTGCAGTGGGGGCTTGCGGTGGCGGAGAAGTGCCTCAGCGTGTTGTGCAGAGGATGGTGCCGCCGCCGGGTCTTGCAGGCGTCGAGACGCGCCAACCAGATGATCGGTCGCGAGCGTGACGTACATCTCTTTCGCGGTTTCACTGCGCCAACGGCCCAGGCGTTTGAAGATCCTGTCAGGAACCCCGAATTGGCAGCAACCGTGGCCGCGCCTTTCCGAAAGGAGTGGGTGCCGAGGTGCTCTTTTCCTAGACCGATTTTCGCGAAGGCTTCCTTGCACCAGTTGCGGATTGTGGTGTATGAGGGCGGTCTGGCTGTGCCGTGGCTCGGTAGGTGGGGTCCGAAGACCCGGATGAGCGGTCCCAAGGACTAGAGGCTGTATCCTGCGAGTTGGATGAGCCTCTGGGTGCCCTGGACCGGACAAAAGGGTGCGGGGCTTGTCGCGATAGGGATCCATGTGCCTTGGCCGGCTTGGTCGGTTTTTGAGTGGGGGATGAGTAGCCACATCGCTTCATCTTTAAATTGGATGTCCTGCCATTGGATGGCCACCAGGTCCGAGTAGCGCAAGAAACCGGCGTACATGAGAATCGGGATCAGTCCTTTTTGGAACACAGCTGGGTCAGTTGACTGTAGGAAGGAGGCTGCCATATCGTGGACCTGATGGAGTGAGACTGGCTCTTTAATCCTGTTAGGGCGCGGGCAGTGTCGCTTCGCGAAGTCGCGCACTTGGGAGGTGAAAGGGCCGGTAGTTGGGCATGTTGAGCCTGTCATCCTGTGGGCAAAGCTCACGGCGGAACATGTGAGCTGAACCACCGACAAGGAGGCCTTGCGTTGGATGACATGCACAAGGTAGAGCGCGAGGGTCATGTCCGATGCCGGCAAGAACGTTAGGTTGACCTTCGTGCAGAAGGCGCGGAACTTCACCCAGTAAGGCTCGTATGTGCGGATGGTCGAGTCGGCACGAGAGCGGGCGAGCATGGAAAGCAGGTCATGTTGGAGCTTTGGAAGCAGATCTGGGGACAGGCAAGGGAGTCTAGTTAGTCAAATATCACGCGGAGTGCGACGATAGTGCTGTTGGGTAATCCTGTGCCTGAGAATGCTTGACTATGTGTGCCGACTGTAAGACACTGGCTGCCGTGTGTAAGAGGGATATGTGCTTGGATGTGTGGGTCCCACGATGGAGGGGAGGGCTGGAGGAGCAGCCACCAGCTTGCGCCAGGCCAGTGTGGGACTATGAGGGTGAGAGATGCGCTCGTGCGTTGTGCGTGATGGAGTACTGCGGGGATGAGTTGGGGCGGTGGGAATGCAAAGTTGTTCTCAGCCGTCCAGGCAAGTGAGAAGGCGTCGGCTGCTGTGGCATCGGGGTGGGGGACCTTAGAGCAGAAACGCGGCAGGTGTGCATTTTGGGGGTTGGCAAATAGGTCAATGGAGTGGGGCCCCCAGCGACGCTTGAGGAGGCGAAACCATGGGAACTTCAACGAGTAGTCATCGTGGTCGACTAGCTTGGAGAGCTCGTCTGCGCGACCATTCAGATCGCGTGGGATCCATTCAATGATTAGCCGAATCTCGAACTCCATGCATTTTTGGATGATGCCTTTGCATGTGGTGGTGAGGTCGGGGCTTTGTGAACCTCCTTTGCGAAGGATGAAGAACACACCCTGGTTGTCCACCCGCACTAGCACGTGTTTCTTTCGGATTCTAGGCGCGTACATTTGTAGCGCCCACAGCACGCCGGCAAGCTCTCTTTGTGTGCTGGAGGTTGGATGAAGGGCTCCGGGCATTGCCGCGCTGGCCTCTATCGCGGCTCCAGGGAATGTGTTTAGCGTGGCACCCCAGCTGTGGGCACTTGCGTCTACGTGGATGACTGCATCGTAGCTGTGCCGCACATGGAACGGGGCACCGTTGAAACGGTCGAACTCTTGGATCCAGAATCTCAGCTCTTCGATGGCGGGTGGGGAGAGGATGACCATGCTGGTCCATGTCGGCGCGTCGTTGATTGTTTCTAGCATGGCATGGCTGAACGCTCGGTTGGTGGTGCCGAGTGCGACAGCCATCGATGCCAGCATGCCTGTAACTCGGGCCAGTTGTCGGACTCGGACTTTCCGCTGAGCTGAGCTTGCGCGCAGTAGGGCATGGAGGGTGGCGTTGAGTGTGACTCGCCGCTCCTCGCCGAGGGAGAACCGGCCGGCCTGTGTGTCAAGTTCTACGCCAAGGAACCGAAGGTGCTGTGTTGGTATCAGCTTTGACTTTTTTGAGTTGAGTACGAGCCCGGCAGCCTTGAGATCGATAACGATCCGTTGGCACGTGGCTTGAGCGTGTGCCTGGGTCGGGCACAGGAAGAGGATATCGTCCACATAGGGTATCACGCGGACCCCCTGCTCCCGCCATCACCGAGCTAATTGCTTGATGAGCTGCGTGAAGACGAATGGTGCTGTGGCGAGGCCGAACGGCAAGGATCGGAAGGCGTAGGTGCACCCGTCGAATTCAAAGCCGAGGAACGTCCAGCACGAGGGATGGATGTCGACATGGTGATAGCCTGATTTCAAGTCGATGGAGAACATCCAATCTCCTTGGCGGGCGAGGTCCGCTACGCGGTTGAGTCCCTCATATTTAAATTTGGGGACGATTATTGCGTCGTTCACCTTTCGGAGATCCAGAATCAGGCGACACTTGTCTTTCTGCTCGACCACGTTGAGAGGGCTTATGCATATCAGTTTCGCCGCAGGAATTTGGATGGCCGCGCCGGTCTCGGTGAGTTCAAGGATGGCCGTGCGCGTGAATGCTTCGTGGGTGCGTGCGCCGGCATGGTTGCGATCGTGAAAGGCCGGCGGCGGCCCGAGTTTCCATGGCATCCAGTATCCTTTGGCAATGATTGAGAGGATGAAACTGCTAGTGCACCACGAGCTCCACCATGCGAACGTGGTACGTAGGCGGCCACGCATTTGGGTGACCATCTTGTCAGTAATTGCGTATTCGTAGGGGTCACTGTTGTGAGCGCATTCGCGAAGTCTGGTGCCTGTGGGAGTGCCATCATGCAAGGAGAAGCAAGGGACGAATACTTGAGTTCATCTGCAGGGCTGATGCCTGCCGGAAACCTAGAGCGTGGGGGGGGGGGAGTGTGAAGCCTAGTGGCTGAGGAGGGCGTGCCGGGTTGAAGTGCCACATGCGAGCAAGATGCTTAGGTCGGTGGTTGCCTGCGCTTTGAGCGGGTCTGAGCGGCGTGACCTGCGTGTGTGTCGGTTTGCACGCCCGCGCATGCCGAGCTTGCGTTCGAACCTGAGCCCCGACGTTTGCTTCCCTTTGTGCCCTCGTATTCCCACAACTTGTGCCTTCACTTGCGCTTCTACTCGCGAACGCATGTTACCCTCTTATTGCCTCCTGAGTTTTGACACTCAACGCCCGTGTTTTTTTTTTTCTTCTTCTTCTTTTTTTCTTTTCTTTTTTTCTGTCTTTCTTCTAGCCACCTCTTGTGTGCTTGTGTGGCATGCGTGCGGTGTTTTGTTGCTGTTCCCGTTCGTGGGCCATACCGCGTGCGTGCGCGCATGCTTATGTGACTCGTTTTTTTTTTTTTTTTTTTTTTTTTTTTTTCCAATGCCAAGCTGGGCAGCCCTAGATGAGGCTGGTGTGGCTGTTCCTGTATGCCCACGGCGGGGTAATGCGTAGGGTCCAGGGTGTAGCATACCGGGTTGGAGGGTAGGCGCCTTGTAAGGCTCGCATAATGCTTGAATTCTGTTTTTTTTTTTTTTTTTTTTGCATGTCCAATCGGGGAGCAACTCTGTGTGGGTAAGTGGCGGGCCGTTGGTGTTCCTGATGGCCTTCCTTCTCTGGCCGGGGGTGCTGCGTGACATGCAGCGGGGGTTGAGCCACCCACTATGCTTCCCCGTTCCGTGCTCAACACCCCCCCCCCCCCCTCCTTCTTTTTTTCTTTTTTTTTTTGCTGCGCCTCTTATGGTGCTGCTCCCCCATTTCTCTGGTTATATTAGGGGACCAAGACCTGAAAAAAGAATGAAGGACCGCGGCTCCTTATTTTAACCAAGCTTCATCTCTACTCAACCATGCTCCTAGGCATGCAAAGTCCGCCTTGCAAGGTCGGGCTATCATTTGGGACCGAGGGGGTATGTTCCCCTTCCCTTGCTCTGAGCCTAGGGCCTTCGATTGGCCTACACTAGGGCTGGCCCTCTGCCACCCGTGCCCCTAAGGGGTGGGCCCAATGGCCTACGCACACACCGGGTGCCTTGCGCCTTGCGCCACTTGCGCAAGCGCCCATGGCCCGACCCCTACACCACTGGTGCGGGTCCTTGGCCACCATGCCCAATCGCCGGGCAGCCGCTGGCCACATGCCCCGGCTGGCCACAGCGGAAGCAAGTGCCTCGGAAGCCACGGAATTCTCCCGTAGGCGGCGGACCACACTTTGGCACGAACGGCATGGGCATGCGGCCGCCTCCGCGATTTCCACGAGCAAACCCGCCCTCGGCGCGGTCCATTGCGGCCACGTCAGCGACGGCCTGCTTGAAAGGCCTTGAGGTAAGCAGACTCTTCTGCTGGTACAGCTTGAAACGCTTGGCCGTGCGGAAGTCGGAGGCGTCTTCGACTTGGAGAACTTCGAAGCGTCGCGATATGAGGGCGAGCGCGTCGGCGAGGAATTCGGGGCCGCCCGGCGCGTCGCCGTGCTGCACCTTGAAATCGGCGTGCTTCAGGTATGCCCGAAGGTCCTCCAGGACTTCCGCTTGCTCGCGCACGGCCGCGTTGAGGAAAGACGCCGCCGAGAGGGTGGTGTTAGTGGACGGGAGTGGTGGGAGGTGCTCCATGGGAATTGAAGTTGCAGCAGTGCCGGGGACCTCACCAGCGTCATTGTCGGAGTTGTCGCTGTCGTTGTCGGCCGCCGGGGCAGGTGGGATGCTGGCGACGGCGTCTTTGGCGAGGCGTGGCGTCTTGGTTCCGCGTGTGGCCTTTTCTGTTTTTGCAGGTTCTTTTTTAGCAGATTCAGAAGCAGCAGGTTGAGCAGTTTCGGCGGCCGTAACACTCGTCGCCTGCTGCTGTAACAGCGTCAACAGCGCGTTGACCTGCGCAGGGGTCAACGACGGGGTCAATGTCGGGGTGGGCGGCACGTCAGACGAGGCAGCCGCACGCCCCCTTTTGCGCTGGCGAGAAGGATCCGCCACTTGCGGGGCTGGCGCGTGCTGCTGCTCGGCGTCAGGCGCGAGTGGCTGGCTCTGCCCAGCCACTTGCGCGTGTGGCTCAGAAGGGGGCGGGGGCGCGTCAGCAGGCTGACTGTTGACCTCGCCCCCTCCCAGCAGAACGTCAACCCCAGTTGGGGCGGCCGCCCCTTCTTCTGCCCGACGCTTGTTGCGCCGGTCGCCCGCAATTTCCGGGGCTTGGCGAGTAGACTCGGAATTGGGGTGGCCGGTGACGACGTTGGACTCGTCGCGATTATTTGTAGTCGGAGCCATGACGGATCGGTGAAACTTAAAAATGTCGGAGAGAAGAGTCGAGGGAGACTCGCCGCGAGGCAAAGTTCTAGTCTTAGCCAGCTTGAACGGGAGAAAAGCTAGAGCGGGAAAGTTGACTCAGCCGTTTGAAAAATGAGAGACGTGGGTGGAGGTAAATGAGCTCCAACCCACGTATATGTAGTTGGAGAAGGGCGAGTAGCGCGCTTCGACGATGCCCAACGCTTCAGTACAATCAGCTCCGCTTTCCTAATACACAATTTTTGAAAAACACTACGTGTGTTAAAAATTATAATATTTAGAGATTCACATCAAGTGACTTCATGCAAATAGAAGTTGAAACCATGGGACCAGAATGGATGTCTGGTAAAACGCGGTACAGAGTGACTTACTTTGTTTCAAAACTATTTTTTGAGAGGTACAGAGGTCAACGACTAGACGATGGGAGTGGAGGGTCACTCCAATCGTACTTAGGACACGCCCTTAGCACTTGCATTACGATACAGGGATGGGGATGAAGCATTCAAAACTACTTATAACGTTGAAGATTTTGAATGGCCTGGTTACGCAGGTCAATAACGCACCGGCTTCTGACGATGTCTTAGTTGAGTCCCACCTTTTTTTTTTATTATTAGTTCAGCCTCAGTTCCCTCTCTGATTACTCTACTTCCGTGAATATGGCTCCCCCGATACTCCGCGTTCTGCGCCTTGGCGTCACGCCGTATCTCACGGCGCTAGACCTCCAGGCCCGCGCCGCCGCTCGCCGCGCTGGTCGCTCCACCACCGCCGCCTCCGCCTCCGCTTCCCCCTCCCCCTCCTCCCCCGCTTCCGCAAACCCCCCCAGAGTCCCGCCATCCCCCGACCTGCTCCTCGCGCTGCAACACCCGCCAGTCATAACCATTGGAAAGCGGCAAGCAGTCGGCGCGAGTCATATAATCGCAGGGGAGGAGGAGTTAGCTGCGGCGGGCGTGGAGGTCCATAGAACAGCGCGCGGCGGCGACGCCACGTTTCACGGGCCGGGTCAGGCGGTGCTGTACCCCGTGCTTCGGCTGCCGGACCTGAGGCTCGGCGCGCGGCGGTACGTGGAAGGCCTGGAGGACGTCATGGTTCGGGGCGCTGCGAGGTTCGGCGTGGAGGCTCGGGGAAGAGTTCCGGGAATGACGGGAGTGTGGGTGGGGTGGGACGAGGAGGATCCAGATGCAGGCGAGATGAGGCCCAATCTCAAGGGCCCTGATGGGGATTCAGGTGTTGATGGTTCAGGTGGTGGTTCAGGTGGTGGTTCAGGTGGTGGTTCAGGTGGTGGTGGTTCAGGTGGTGGTTCAGGAGGGACGGGGAGGAAGATCGGTGCTGTTGGCGTGCAGATATCAGGCGGTGTGACAAGGCACGGGCTGGCCTTCAATATAAGCACAGACCTCTCGTTCTTCAAGCTCATAGTGCCCTGTGGGCTAGAGGGAAGAGCAGTCACATCATTAATAGAGGAGAGGAGGCGGTTGGGGGGGAAGGTTAGGAGGAGGGAGGGAGTGGGGGAGGGGGGGGAAGGGAGTGTGGGAGTGGGAGAGGATGTTTCTTGTAGTGCAGTTACGGATGTGGGTATAGATGTGGGGTTGGAGACAGTAATGGATGTGCTTATAGAGGAGTTTGTGAGGGAGTTTGGGTTTCAGGAGGAGAGGTGCAGTGATGAAGAGCAGTGGTTGCGGTGATAGTAACGAAGGGCATGGGGGTGTAATATTTTTCTTGGAGGAAGCTATCGTTTAAAATAATTCATTACACCCCGACAAAGCCAACCGACCAGAACCTTCGCGAGAACCAAGTTGTAGTATCTGTGCGGTGTAACGGTGTTATTGTAGGTCAGTTATCCGGGTTTGTGCTAGCATAAAACCATAAGACAACCATCGTGTCACGATGTTGGCAAGCATTTGCTTGCCCAACTCTCTGTGCCACATCAGCTTAACCAACCCAGCCCAACCTAGCAGATCTGCACCGAATAACAACTCCGTCGTCCCGTTATTGAGCACTTATAGGACACAAAACGTGTCACGCATGGTTCCAAAAAACAGGCTTAGCGGTTGTCTTAAGGGATAAGTTGACACCGATGTCCTCAAGGAGTGTCTCTGTTGAAGTGAAAGAATCACTCATGAGTCATGGCTTGTTCCATTCCTGCCCGTGCCATCTCGATTTCATCTGCACGCCCTTTCGCTCCTCCTCACCCTCACCAGCACCAGCATCATCAGCTCCCGTGTTGCTGCCTGTTGTACTGCCACCAGTACCAGTGTTACCGCCTCTCTTGCTGCTGCTGCTGCTGCTGCTGATGCTGCCGCTGCTGCTGCTGCTGCTGCTGCTGCTGCTGCTGCTGATGCTGCCGCCGCTGCTGCCACCCTTGCTGCTGCTGCCACTCTTGCTGCTGGTGCTCCTACTGCTACTCTTGCTGGTGCTGCTGCTACTGCCACACTTGCTGCTGCTGCTGCTGCTACTCCCACTCTTCCTGCTACTGCCACTGCCACACTTGCTACTGCTGCTGCTACTGCCTCTCCTGTTGCTCGTACTTTGGGCACTCTTGTTGCTCCTGCTACTACCAGTCTTGCCGGCACCTGTGATAGTGTTGTTGTCATCCGTTCCTGCCTCCCCTCGGCTGCTTCTGATACTTGCTAGTTCTGCACTTGAACCTCCAGTGCTGGCGCTGCCACTGGTGCTGCTGCTGCTGCTGGTACTGTTGCTGCTGCTGCCGTTGCCGCTGCTGCCGTTGCCGCTGCTACTTGTGCTGGTGTTGGTACTGTTAGTGCTGTTGCTGCTGCTGTCACCCCCTGCTAGTCCTCCTGACTGCATGGGCTGTATTGACTTGGATGCCTTGCTGCTGCCACTTGAATTGCTACCAGCACTGCTGCTGCTGCTGCTGCTGCTGCTGCTGCTCCTGGTTTGGGATGTTGTAGCTGTGACATTGCTTGTGCTATTGCTGCCGCTGGTGCTGTTGGCGCTGCTGCCAGTGCTGTTGGTGCTGGTGCCGCTGCTGGTGCTGCTGCTTGTGCTATTGGTGCTGGTGCTGGTGCTGTTGGTGCTGGTTCCACTGCTGGTGCTATTGGTGCTGGTGGTGTTGGTGCTGCTGCTACCAGTGGTTGTGGACAGGGGATAGGTCACTCTGCTTGTGAGTAAGGCAAAAGAGAACAAGAAAATCAGACAAGCTAGTGAGTGAACTAGTTCCTCGAAAAAGGAACAAAAAATTCAGAGTGGTAAGGTATGGAGCCAGCGCGTGATGACAAAAGCACACATGAAATGCATGTAGCATCAGATTCCGAAACACCGACTGCACCACTGCTTGCAAAACATTTACAAAACATTCACAACCGCATTCACGGAAGAAAAGGGCCACCACTCACCCGCATTTGGCTGCTTGCGCCGCGATGTTACTCGTCTTAGACACAGCAATGCTAGCAGTGCTCCACCCCGCCCCACCCGCCACCTTCGGACTAACCACCCTCACACTGCTGCCATACGCGTTCCTATAACGAGCGCCCAGACTAGAATAAGTCGACTGTAGCGACCGCTTGATATTGATAGCATCCAGTGACATGGCCTGGCAGGGGGCGTTGGGGCTGCATGAGAAGTCGATCCCGCGGCTGCCGTTGCTGTAGCCGGTGACGTTGCGGTAGGAGACGTTGAAGACGGCGATGGCGTTGCTGCTGCTGCTCTGACACCCCTCAGGCCCGACATTGTTACGGTCACAGTAGTTCTGCGGGGTGGGGTGAGGTGTGTGGGGGGGGAAGGCCGTAAGGGGAGTGTCACCATAGTGCTGAGGGGGAGTAGGAAGAGGGAAAGGGATCGGGATCAACAGCATTAAGCAAGGGTTTGAGGGAAGGTTGGAGAGAGGGGATCCTTGGATGAGCAAGGAGCAAGTGAGGGTGAGAGGTGTATTTTGAGTCGACTCAAAATACACCTGATCCTTTAACGGCACCCAGCATGTGAAGGCTGCGAAGCTGGACATGGTAACCATGCCTGGTAACTGAACCGGGCATGGTAACTGAGCGTGGTAACCAGGCGTGGTAACCAGTACGTGGTAACCAGGCATGGTAACACAACACCCTACCTGGTCGACAATGACCGCATTGGTGATGTCCTGCTTAGGTATAAGGAGACAGTTGAGTCAACTCAAAAAACATTCTCGTAGTGGATGTTGCGTGGCGACTCTGGAGTCGACTCACCATGCACCATGCACCATGCACCATGCACCATGCAGCATGCACCATGCCCCATGCACCATGCACCATGCACCATGCACCATGCACCATGCACCATGCACCACACACCATGCACCATGCACCATGCACCATGCACCATGCACCATGCACCCTGCACCATGCACCATGCAGCATGCACCATGCACCATGCACCATGCCCCATGCACCATGCACCATGCAGCATGCACCATGCACCATGCACCATGCCCCATGCACCATGCACCATGCACCATGCACCATGCACCATGCACCACGCACCATGCACCATCCACCATGCACCATGCCCATGCATGGTGCAGCGACCCTACCTGGTCCACAATGATGGCATTGGTGACGTCCAGCATGGTGACATTCTCGTAGTGGATGTTCCACACGGCACCCTGGCCGCCCTGGTACGTCTTGATTCGCAGCCCGTTGGAGAGCGCCGCCAGCTGCACGTTCTGCACCCGCACGTCCGACACACACGCCAGGCTGCCGCCCACGCCCAGACTGCCGATGCTGGTGAGGGCAGGAGGGAGGGGACGGTAAGAAACAGGAGTGAAACAACAGACGTCAGGGTGCTGTCATCGCACAGACTGCTCATGCTGGTGGGGGGTAGGAAGGGGGGGGGGGAGAGTGAGTTGGCCGATGGAGGATGACTGAGTTGGCACACACGCCAGGTTGCAGTCCCTGCCCAGATGGCCGATGCTGTTGGGAAGGAGGGAGAAAGAAAGGGATGCACGCACCGTTGATACACACGTCAGAGTGCCTTCCACGCCCAGACTGCCAAGGCTGCGAGCACAGAGGAGAGCGAAGGAGAAAGAGGCGAAATGCGCAGGTGCTTGCACAGTTGGCGCACATGCCAGACTGGAGTCCACACCCGGACTGCCGACGCAGGTGGGGGGGAGAGGGGGGGGGATGAGGAGGGATGCATGGACACTTGAACCACACACTCACACACATTTCCCCTTTGCGTCTGATGATATCTCTTGATTCAACACACATGACTGCGATATCTCAAAAGAGGTATGCTTGCCCACCTGATGCCACACCCACCTGATGCCGTGGCCAGCAGTGCACACTAGGTTCCTCAGAAGAATGTTGCTGCTGCCGCCTGTGATCGCCACATTGTCGTCACCTGCACCACACGTTACGAGCCGGTTATACGCGGTTCCACATTCCTTTGAGTGATTGCAAAGGTTAGCAAGAGCTGAGTGGAGCCAACAGAGGAAGTGAGGAAGTGTGTACCACTACAGCAGGAAGAGATGCCACTCCGTGGAAAGGAGTCTAGTTTTGATGCGCCTCAAAACCAGGATATGCGCGGAAATGAGCCGACAGAGGAAGTGAGGAAGTGTGGCCCACCGCTCTGCTGGAAAAGACGCCACTCTGCTTTTGAGTCGGACTCAAATGCCGACAGAGGAAGTGAGGGAATGAGTGCCACCCGCTCACCTTGACGCCACTCCGTTGTAGAAAGGAGAAGTGACGAGGTATGGGAGGAGGTGGGGAAAGGGGGGGAGGGAGCGGGGGAGGGGATCAGGAAAGGGGAAAGCATAGAAACGTGTAGCCGATCCCATACCTGCATGTAGCTTGCAGTTCTCTACAGTGACATTGGAGGACATGCCAATGCCAATGCTGTCCGTGTTGGGGCTGTCTGCTGGCGTACGTGTTTTAACGCCGCTGATGCGCACGTTGCTGCAGCGGTACAGGTGCAGGTGCTGCATTGGGGGGTTTCTGCGCGAGAAGGAGAGGATGAGGACGCGAAGAGCACAGGGAAGGAGCGGAAGCAGGCAGTACAGTATGCGAAGAATTTAGCAAGCAGACACGATTTATAAATATATCTATATTATAGATGTATATATATGTATATATATGCATACCAGCAGCTTTGCCTCCAGAAGAAAGAGAGCCATGGCGCAAATAGAATGAGTTGCAGAGGAATGAGAAGGAGAGGGTGGAGCATAACGCACGAGACAAGACGACATGGAAGAGGGAAGAGCACTAAACGCCAAATGTGTCCATAAGGTAGCAAGGCAGGAAACGCCAATTCTTTTCCCACTGAGCTAAGTCTCCTGCAACGCTTACCTAAGTGTGATTCCTTGTATCTCCACGTTGTTACACCGGTGCAGGTACAGCATCCCCGGCCTGATCTTCTCATTCCACTTAAGCTTCTTCTTTTCAAACAGGTCCCACCACACGAACCCCATGCCGTTGATCGAGCCCCCCCCGATGATCCTCAGCCGTTGGATGCGGTCCAGGAGCAGAATAAAATCGGGAACCCCACGAAACGCGAGGGGATTAAGCGGAAAGGTCATCTTTCCATTCAGCTTTATAGTCATATTCCCCGCTCCACACGGGCCCTGCCACACCATGGGACTCCCAAACTTAAACACCTTCCCTTTAGGAATCACCACTATCGCATGCCTCCCCACCTTGCTCCCCGCAGCAGCAGGAACGGCCGCATTAGCCGCATACCGGCAGGCAGCATCAAATGCCGCCGTAATCGGGCGCGCATCGTTCACAATCCCGTTCCCCGCGGCGCCGAAATCATCCACAACGTGGAAGACGTTGGCGGGACGTTTCTTGGCGCAGAGAATGCGGGGGGAGCGGGAGCAGCGCGCGGGCGCGAAGAAGCACGAGGGGAAGGGGAAACAGGCGGCGGGGGAGGCGATTCGGTTGCCGTACCACACGCAGCGGCTGGTGCGGCAGCGGTCGCCGTCGTCACACGCGTCTGGCGTGGGGGGAGGGGGGGGGGGGGTGGAGATGGGAGGGATGGGGAAGAATGAGGGGAAGGTGGAGAGAGAGTTGCGGAGGCAAGGGGGAGGAATGGGGTCGGCTTTTGAGTAATGGGGTTATGAAGGAAGAGTTGAGCAAAGTGGGAACAGCAGCGAGGAATTGATTTTTGAGGCGCCTCAAAAACAGTGGAAATAGGAATAGCAGCGAGGAATTGAGACGCCTGGTCGTGGAGACGACTCGGAAAAGGGGGGGGAGTCACTACGCCAGGTCGGGGGACGCGGGGGAGGTGCTCACTAGGGAAGGTCCTGACTATCTTTCACTGCGCGTTGAGCGCGAAGCGGCGGTTTTGAGAGACGTCTCAGAACGAGGTGCTTACTGGGGAAGGTCCTGACTATCTTGCACTGCGCGTTGAGCGCGAAGCGGCAGTCGCCGCTTAGAACGCGCCGCTTGCCCTTGGGCGCCCACGCGTCGTACGGAGAGAGCGTGGTGCTGCGACGGAAAGGGGGAGGGAGAGGGGATTGGGGGAGAGATGCATTTGCGGATTGGGATGTGGAGAGTGCTCAGAAACGATTTACCTCAGCGCGCGCCACTTTCCCTTGGGGGCGCCCACGCGTCGGACGGCGATAGCGTGGTGCTGCGCGGGCGGGGGGATTTTTGGGGGGGTGGCGGAGGCGTGGTGGCGCGGGTGGCGCGGGTGGCGCGGGGCAGGTGAGGGAGTGGTGTGCGGGAGCGAGCGGAATGCTGGCGGGGAGAATGGCAAAAACGATAAAGGAGGATGGGAAAAAGCAAGTGGAGGAAAGAGAACGCAGGAAAATCCGGATGATGCTTCACCCCACCCCACCCCACATCACCCCACCCCACCCCGGTCCCCGCATTTTTTTGCAGGGTGTTTTCGAGAATTCTGAAAAAAACATCCCGAACCTCCGTACTTCCTCATTTTCCGCATCCGAGACACACCCTACTCCCCCTCTCCTTCGTGTGTAATGAGTCGATTTTTGAGTCGACTAAAAAAATCCGTGAGTAATGAGTCGACTCAAAAATCGTCTCATTACACACGTTTTCCGCAACTGAGACACACTCTACTCCCCCTCTCCTTCGCCCCAACTAGGTTTGAGCCGTCGGCCTCAACAGCGGACGTATTCCCTACCTAAATCCAACCCCACCGCTGACCAACCGCTCTGCTTTCGGGGGATTTGCCAGCGCAGCACCCATCAAGCACACGCCCCCGCTCTGAGAGCGACGGAGGCACGGAGGCTCGGAGGCACGGAGGCTCGGAGGCACGGAGGTACGGAGGCACCTACTTGCGCGGGTTGATGTACTTAAGAGTGAACCGACCGGTCTTGTAATAGTACACGCACGCGCCCCGCCTCTTAGGCAGCATGCGCGACCCGTCGAAGAGCAGCAGTTCGCGCCGCTCGGTTTCCTCTCGCCGCTCGGCTTGCTCGCGTGGCGCAGAACTCCCCTCGCTTCTCCTCGTGCCGCCCTCTCCCCATCCCTCTCCATTCCCTGCCTGTTTCCGCCTCGCTATTCCCTCCCACTCGTCCCCCTCCGCTTGCCCCTCCACCCCCGCCATTCCGCCCGTTCCTCCCCCCAATTCCGGTTGCCCTTCCGCCATGTTCCCCCCAACACGTGCGTTCCGCCAGACCACGCGCCTGCTGACGCGCCCCCCTTGCCATTCCAGCATAAGCGGCTGGCGATCGTGCGACAAAGCTTGCGACGTCTCGTGCGACACATCGTGCGACGAATCGAGCCACTCCTGCTGTCCATGCGGGGGATGCGGGGGCCCAGCTTCTCCGCCGGCCATTCCCTCTGCTGCGCTGGTGCGCGGAGACGGAACAGGCGGAAACGGATTCGCGCGGAGGTTGCGCGGGAGCAGGGGCAGTTGCGCGGGGGCAGTTGGGCGCAAGGGCCGCGTAGGGAGCGGTGCCAGGTCGGAGGCGCGCACCTCCAGGGGGAACGATGCGACGACGGCAAGCGACGCTGCGGGAACGGCGGGGAGACGTGAAAAACACGTGAGAGAGACAAAACGACAAAGGGACGCGAAATGATAAACAGAATTCCACCGTAGAGTGCGGATTACCGCGAGCGATTTTTGAGTCGACTCAAAAATCACTTTTTGAGTCGACTCAAAAATCACGTAAGGATTACCGCGAGCGGCAGGCTGAGAGAACGCGGTCGGGCAACCAGATATGGCCGTCGGTGAAAGGAAATGGGTGGGCGGTAGGCAATGGACGCGCAGACAAGAGAGGCGCGGACAAGAGAGTCGCGGACAAGAGAGTCGCGGACAGCAGGCAGGAAACACCCGTCTCGCCGAGAGTTGGGAGACCAAGGAATGATTAGAAGCTGCCAGAAGCCACCAGCCTACCGGTCAGGAGCACGAAAATCGTCAACGCGGCCAGTGGATGGCTGCCGAACCGGGTCTCCATGACTTCACCGAGCTGCCAAGCACCTGATTCAGCCTACTATCAGGTGCTAGAAGCTTGCGAACTTCAGGGCTCGTGACGCGCGGCGACGAAAATTCTCTATGGCACGAAGAACTAGTGTACTACTAGGCTCCTCGAGACGGATTCACTATCGAGTACGGGCCGAGTTTTGAGGCGTCTCGACAATCGTCACTATGGAGCGCGGGCTGCGTGACGCTTGTAAGACCTTCGTGGGCTCTATACAGGCGACGCCACTGGACGTGCTAATCCCGCTAATTCTATGGGTTATCAATGTGCTGTTTTGAGAATATGAACCTGTGAACCTCTGATCTAAGATCCTTATTGTGAAGTGTCGGTGTAAGACTTCAAGATTTCACGTCGGGGGGGATCGAGAGGCGGTAAGTAGAAGCTAACGCGGAACTGATGGACCTATTTTGAAGACAGGAGTGGCAACTTGAAAGCGGGTTTCTTGTCGGACTAAGTCGTCCACTGACGGTTACAGAGCAGCGAAAAAAATGACCGGCCACTATTCGTGAAACGACGCGGCGGGTACACGCTCGATTATCCGCAAGTGATTAAGCGCCGTCCTTTGGTGAATACCGCCGGTCGTTGTTGGAGATAGTAGAAGCATGCCAAACTTCTGGCGGCTAGAATTTGAACCTCGTCGGAACCCAGTTGTTCGCTCAGTCGGTGAAGAGGCTCAACTGCACTAGCCACTGGCTGCTTGCTGACCGTCCGCTGAAGAGTATTTTCCCGCGCAGGCTGCCGCGCTTGGCGGCAAACCGTTCGTTTCATACGTATCATGTGGCAGCCAGGAAGACGGGTCTGGGTGGAATCATCAGCGCATTTGCCGAAGGGAACCCATTCAGGAGCTATGGCTGGTGTTTTCGTTGTGCTCTGTCAGCGGTGAAGTCCACCTGGTTGTGTGTTATGGCGGCCAGTTCAAATGTTGCGTGTGAGACCTCTTCCCAACATTTGCCTTACCGACATTTGTTCATTCCGTTGTGGGAAGGCCAAGCGGCGCGGCGATCGCAGCGCGGGCGCGGCTTGGCTGGGAAGTTTTATGATCGCAACCAAAGAGGAACGACATATATATCGTGCTACATTTGTTACTATAGAAGGAACTATCAAGGAAATAATCACATTTGTTCTGGCAAAGCTGTTGTAGGTTGGAGGCCAAACCACCTACAAAACTACATTTGAACAATCTGCAAAAAATCAACCCATTTCCCTCCCCCGGCATTCTGGCGGGAACATATTGTCTCTGCTGGCACTCAATGTCCCGCGCGGGCCGCGTCGTCGTTTTCGGTTCGGGTATGTGGTCTGACAACAACTTGTGGCTGTGCCTAGGCCTGCTCTGACAGAAACACAAATGTCGAATGTTGATTCCGCGCCGATTTGAACAACGGAGACAGCGCAGCACATCTCACCGCTTCTTTGGGGACGAGCCTCTTACTTGAGTCCAAACCAAAAACAAGGTTCGGTCAAGGCCACTTGTGCTCCAATCAGCAGCAAGCCCTCCTTTCCGAGCTTATCGGGGCAGATCCCCTTGCCTTTACTGAGGTCAGAGTGAGGAAGCAGTTTTCATTTGTGGAACCCTCCCACCCGCAAATCACCAGATTGAGCAGAATCTATGCATGATTCGATGACACCCGTTGCGCATGTCGCAAGAATTTTGCCTTTCTATGACGGCGGAAAGTGCTACTTCTGTGCTCCAAAAACACGCCCTCTCTACAGCTGTAATCGAACCGAGACGCGTTGTCGGAGGCGTAGGGGCTCACCGAAGCTGAAACGTGTTTGCCCCTCTTTCGTGTGTGCGGCGGCTGCCCCCCTCCTCCGCTCAGTTCTGTTCTGATCCGCCGACGCAATTCATGCAACCATGGCGCTCAGCTGACGGGGCTGCAGCAGATTCACCAGTCACTCGCAACGCAACGCAAAAACCGGAATGGCACATCAGAGCCCCTCCTCTGCAGCCTGGCCAGATTTGAAGCTCCCGCTGAAAAGGGGCCACCGTATGGGCAGACGCAGTTACCACCTCCCTCAGACCAGCCCGTCACAGTGGCAAGCACAGGCCTGGTCGGCCAAATCACCAGCAACCTGTGCCCGCCAAATGCAGCCCCTGACGCCCTTCTGCAATTTGCATCGCTTCTCTAGAGACATCTCCTTAGCATTTATGTCGAGGCTGGCTCTATTGACGGGATAGGCAGCAAGCAGCTAGTTTGCCGTCATTCCCTTAGCGCTTCAGCTAGTAATCCTACAGACGCGATCGCCGGAGAGTCACTACTACCAGAGCAGCGCGTGGCCCATTGCTCAAAGACCGATTACTGTAGCATCCGTCGGCTCAGAATGGCCCATGCTCACCAGCCCGCGGCGTCGCACAGAGCCTAAAACCACTAGCTGCCGCGCAGTACTCCGTTCGTATCTTAGGAGGCGGTAGATCGGACGTTGCACCATGCGACGCGTACAGATCTCTGGTGTTCGTGTCCGAATCTCCGCGTGTGTCACTCCCGCGCGCTGCTGCTCTCACTGGTCCATTCGCGTCATTCGCTCGGAAACTTCCTATCCCAGCCATTCACGCGCCGAGATCCTATAATAATAACCTCGCCTCGCTGTAAATAGTTTCTGCGTCGCGGCTTTTGCGGCTCAGATGCCATTGGTAGTATCCACATTTCTCTACCCGGTCAGCGCAGAGCACGACTGGGCGCATTAGGTTACCGTTGACCCTGTCCTGCGCGCGTGTTTCCTTTATGTCTAACCATGGCGGTCGTCGCCATGCGATCCGCGCATCCCCTCGCGAGCGTCGCACGTGTCCGCAAACGGACCACCTGCGACGCCAGCTGCGACTGCTCCTCGGTCTTACCGTGCTGCTGCTGACGTCAACCTCCCCAGGTAACTCCCGGCGCTCCTCTACTCTCCCTCTCCCTCTCCCTCTCCCTCTCCCTCTCTCTCTCCCTCTCCCTCTCCCTCTCCCTCTCCCTCTCCCTCTCCCTCTCCCTCTCCCTCTCCCTCTCACTCGTTTTAAGAACCATCATTTCATGCACGAGGGACCGCGCCTCGCGCCCCTGCCCGTTCTTTCTTGCTTTCAGCGTTAAATGACCGTTCATAAGAGCCGCAAGGGTAGCTTGCGTACCGCTGTCAATATGACCAAGATCCCCCTTGCCGTTCCATCCCCCACCTCCCCCCTCCAGCGATCGCCGTCCATAGCTCCGCCCGGCTGGATGACTCATCCGCCGCTGGTAGCGACAGCGGCGGCGGCGGCGGCGGCGACGGCGACGGCGGAGGCGACGGCGCCGGCGCCATCGTGTCGCCGCCGCCGCCGTCGGTGCTACGGGCCGTGGCGTGCGTGTTCGACAACCGCACGCAGACCTTCACCGCAACTGTCGTCAACCCGCTCCTGTGAGTCCCCGGACCGGACCTTCGGCTCTATTTTCAGTTCGAAACTCGTGGTTCGCGGCTCTTACGTGTAACCCGTTTCGTGCGGGTAACACCGTCTCTTTCGTTACTCAACCTTGGATCTGTGTACTTGGTTTTCCTTCCTCCCCTCCCCCCCCCCCCCCTCTCTCTGCGCAGGATCACTCTGTCGGCCGACAACGGCTGGGCTCCTCCTGCCGGCCGGACCTGGCGCAACGGCAACTGCCGGTTCCTCCTGTCGGCAGGCTGTGCTGTGGTTCGGCATTTCCTAGGTACGGCGCACTCCGCTCAACTAGGGGAAGAAGGAGGAGAGGGGTGGGGGGGGGGGGGGGGGGGAGTGGGGATACGTGAAGGGGGATGCTCAACGGGGGAGGGCATAGGCGGACGGCTTTCAAAGTATGAGGGGTTTTTTGTAACTGGTAGTGGTACTAGTTACATCCGTGCATATGGCGCTGAATAATGCTGGAGTAGTTTCGCAGACGGCAATAAACCCTAAGCGGTGACATCAGAGTACTACGGCTTGAGAAAGCCGCGCCAGTGGAAGCTACTGTCTTGGCTCCTTCCGCCTTCCGCTTATTCCTTCCGCACCCCCGCCCCCCATCCCGCAGACGGCTGCGCGGATCCAGACCCTTGCGCATCCGCCGCTTGCGCGTGGGATGGCGGGCGCCCCGCGGCGCTGGCGGGCTGCGTGCCGTTCCCCGCGTGTTACTTCGCGGGCGGCGTGTGTCGGCGGACGCGCAAGCGCTCCCCCGAGTGCCTCATCCGCGACGCGACCATTTCCGCCGCGGCTGTTTCATCTGCCACGTCACCTGCCAGCAACGCCACCGTTGGGGTTACAAGTAGTCGTACTCTGAAAAGGCCACGTGGCAAGACCAGCCTCGTCACTGGCGCTGCTGCCAAAGCTTCCCCCCTGCCCAAGAAATCGCCCCCTAAGAAAATTCCGCGCTCCCCTCCGCCGTCTCGGTCCCCGCGCGCCCCGCCTCCGCGTAAGGGGTTGAAGAAGGCTCCTCCCATTTTCCGCTGGAAATCTCCTCCCCCTTACCGCCGCAAGAGGTCCCCCCCCCCTTCCGCCGCAAGTCTCCCCCTCCTTTCCACCGGAAGAAGTCTCCCCCTCCTTTCCGTCGGAAGAAGTCTCCCCCTCCCTCTCGGAAAAGATACCCGCCTCCTTCCCCCGCCTCTCGAGAAGGGAGCCCCCCGCTAAAACCCGTCACTCTCGCTCCTGTGGCGGCTTTTCCGTCCCCGCCGCCTCCGCGCCCACCGCCAAGCCCGCCCCCGCGGCCGCCGCCAAGGCCGCCCCCGCGGCCGCCGCCAAGCCCACCGCCTCCGAAGCGCTCTCCTCCCCCACCTCCGCGCCCTCCTTCCCCCCCGCCTCGGCCTCCTCCCCGCCCTCCGCGGCCTCCTCCCCGCCCGCCTTCTCCGCCACCACGACCGCCCTCACCGCCCCCCCGCCCGCCATCTCCCCCTCCATCACCACCTCCCCGTCCCCCTCCCTCTCCTCCGCGCCCTCCCTCTCCTCCCCCGCCATCTCCGCCTCGTCCCCCTCCTCCGCGGCCTCCTCCGCGTCCTCCCCCATCTCCGCCACCTTCTCCGCCTCCCCGCCCCCCACGATCGCCGCCACCCTCGCCTCCCTCTCCCCCTCCCCCGCCTCCCCCCCAGCCGCCGACTCGTCCACCGAGTCCTCCGCCTTCTCCGCCCCCCCGCCCTCCTCCGCCCTCGCCCCGTCCGCCTCCCCCTAGTCCTCCCCCGTCGCCGCCACCCCGCCCTCCTCCACCTCCCCCCAAATCTCCGCCACCACCACCTCCCCTTCCTCCTCCATTCCCACCCCCTCGACCACCCATTCCGCCACCTTCCCCTCCGCCAAGCCCTCCCCCTCGCCCCCCACCACGCCCCCCTCCCCCATCCCCCAAGCCTCCCCTTCCGCCTCCCCCATCCCCTTCCCCACCACCCCTCAACCCCCCCCATCACCACCCCCTCCTCCGCGTCCCCCTCCTCCCTCTCCGCCGCCGCCCAACCCCCCGCCACCGCCTTCCCCGCCGCCTCCGCCACCTCCGCCGCCCCCGCTTGCGCCGGGCGAGTACAACCCGCTATACCTAGGCGCCGTCGGGAACGGCGCGGCGAACGACACCGGACCGCTGCAAACCACGTTCAAACATGCGTGCGCGTACGCGAGCGCGACCGGCGCTCGCGCTACGATCACCATCCCCGAAGGCTACACGTTCTTATTAAGTAGAGCGATTAATTTTGCCGGGCCGTGCGGCACGGGGAGCATGACGATCCAGCTGGACGGTATCTTAGCGGCGGACCCGAATCCCGCCGCGATTGGCTCGAGTCCCCCGAATTCCGCGATCGTGTCGATCAGCAAGATCCCAGGGCTGAGATTGGTCGGGACGGGCGCGATCGACGGCCAGGGAAGCGTGTGGTGGTCGCGGTATAGGGCGGGGAGCAAGGCGGAGCGGCCGGACCTGCTGTTTATATCGCGGTGCAATGGGTTGGAGCTGGGTGGCATCCAAGTGCGGTGAGTGCAGGGAAGGTCACGTGTGCGCAGCTCTCAACCCCGCCCATGTTCTCATGTGCAGGGGGTGAGAATTCTCAGTTGCCTAACGGGAACTCATGGGCTCAACTCATGGGCTCATACGCCGCTACTGACGCTCTCCTTCACTCTTTTTGAGGCGCCTCAAAAAAAATTAGGCGCCTCAAAAATAGACTCCTCACTCATGGGGCATGACGCTCTCCTTCACTCCCCCTCCCCCCACGACTAGCAACCCGCCCATGTTCTCTCCGCCCCCCATCGCTTGTCTCTTGTCCCCTGCGCCCCATGTGCACCATGCCCCTTCCCCCCCCCCCCCCCCCCCCCCCCCCCCCCCCCCCCCCCTGCAGCAACCCGCCCGTGTTCCACGTGATCGTGCTGTGCCGTCTTGATATATTCAAGTTCCACTCCCCCGCTCCCCCTCTCCCCCACCCCCCCGCTTCCCCACTCCCCACTCCCCCGCTCCCCCACTCCCCTCCTCCGGCAGCAACCCGCCTATGTTCCACATGAGCATCAAGGACCTGGTGGGCGCGTGGATCCACGACGTCAGCACTCCCTCTGTCTCTCTATCCCACCCATCCCATCCCATCCCATCCCATCCCCCCTCCCCCCCCCTCTCCCCCCCCCTTCCCCCCCGACAGCAACCCGCCGATGTTCCACATGAACATTAAGGACCTGGTGGGCGCGTGGATCCACGACATCAGCACGCTCACGCCATACAACAGCCCCAACACGGACTCCCTGCACCTCACACGCACCACCAACGTGCTCGTCGAGGACTACTCGTCGCATGGAGGTACGCCGTGTACGCCGTGACTCAAAACGAGCGTGGACTCGCTGCACTGCACCTCACAAGGACCACCAACGTGCTCGCCCAGGACTATGCGTCGCACGGCAACGCGTCTGTGTGCATGCTGTGTTGTATGCCGCCGCGCACAGGTGTGAGGTGCCCATGTTGTGTCTCTTTCCAAGGTGCGCTGTATGCTTGTGCTGGAGTGGGAGTGTCGGGGTGCGAGGGTCAAGTGCACCCTTGCTTGACCCTTTCAAATCAACCCTCTCCTCCTTCCTGTCACCCCACCTCACCCCACCTCACCCCACCCCACCCCGTCCCACTTGCCTGCTCCTCCAGGCGACGACAACGTGTCCATGGTGGGCGGGTGCAGGAACATGTGTTTTAGTGGACGACACCCCCCACTGCTTCTCCTTGCTTGCCTGTAACCCCCTGCTTGCCCCACCAGGCGACGACAATGTGTCCATGGTGGGCGGCTGCAAGAACATCACCATTCGCAACGTGGTGGCCACGGCAGGCCATGGCATCAGGTGGGGGCTTGGGGTCATGGGCGTAAGGGCCATGGGTGCATGGTTTCATGGGTCTTGGATGATTTATCAACTTCCATGCATCATCGATGGTGAGAATTAGGCACCATGACAAATCTGCATCTGCATCTGCATCTCATGGGCTGTCTGCATCAGCGCATGTGGCATGGCATTACAATCTATTTTCTGCCCGGGCGGGTGGTGCTTTTTTGGTTTGCTTTTAAGTGGCTGCATTGCATGCAAGTCAGGAGATCGGTAGTATTATGCCGTATATGGATTCTCTCCTGTTCATCCTTGAGTTCTACCCTACCCCCCCATCCACCAGCATCGGCAGCCTAGGCGACGGCGGCGCTCTGGCGTGTGTGTCGGACGTGCGGGTGCAGAACGCGCAGCTCGTAGCGCTCTCCAACGGGCTGCGAATTAAAACGTACCAGGGCGGCCAGGGATCGGTGTGGAACATCCATTACGAGAATGTCACCATGCAGGACGTCAAATACCCGATAATTATCGATCAGGTACAGTAACATGCTCAAACATTATTATGTATTGTATCGAATATTGTTACATTCAGTCAAATGCCACACAAGTGTCAACTCACCCGAACCAGCTCTCCCTTATGTCAGATGCCCCACAAGTATTATTGCTCTCTGTCCTCCCACTCTCTCACTCTCTCCCTCTCTTGCCCCATCACCCTCCCTCCCTCACCCACTTTCCTCTCACAATCACATAACCAGCTCGCACTCTCCTCCGCGCCTCCCCTCACACACACCCCCCACCAGTACTACTGCGACAAGAGCGACCCCACGGTGTGTCAGGTGCAGGTGAACGCCTAAGCCGTGTTCAACGTCGCTCACCTTCCTTGTCCCCCTTCCTCCACTGCAACCCCACTGCTCCCCCAACAGTACTACTGCGACAAGAGCGACCCCAGCGTGTGCCAGGAGCAGCAGGACGCCTTAGCCATCTTCAACATCACGTACCGCAACGTGGAGGGCACGACTAACGCCACGCGCGGCATCACCTTCAACTGCAGCTCGTCCGTGCCGTGCCAGCAGATCCGCCTCGACAACATCAACCTAGATTCGTCGTATCCGGACGGGCATTCCAAGGCCGTGCTCAAGCCGTCGTACCTCAACGTGTATGGGCTGTCAACAGGGCCCATCCTGCCCACGGTCTACAATGGGACAAGTGCGAGTGGGTGGGTGGATGCAGGGTTGCCGGCGGAGCAAGCGGCTAATTTCATGGGCCAAGTGGGCAAGTGTGGGGTTGTGCAACCTTGGACGTTCTCTCCGCCGCCTCCTAGTCCTCCTCCCTCTCCCCCTCCTCCCCCTCCCCCCAGCCCACCGCCTTCCCCCCCGCCCCGGCCTCCCCCCATGCCGCCTCCCCGCCCGCCACCCTCCCCCCCTCCTGCTCCTCCTCCTCCACCCTTGCCACCTCCCCCTCCTCCTCCCTTCCCTCCCCCACCTTCTCCCTCTCCCTCTCCGTCCCCTCCCACACTATCCTCGCCTCTTTCTGCCCCACCCCCACCCCCACCCCCACCCCCACCCGGTAAACCTATCTCCTCCGCTTTCTTTACCCCAGACGATGCCCCTTCGCCTGAGAATCCGTCCGCCCCCCCATCCCTCTCTCCTCCTCCCCCACCTCTCCCCCCATCCCCATCATCTCCCACCTCCCCCCCTTCCTCTTCCATACTCCCGCCCCCTCCACCACCCCAGCAGCTTTCCTCAACGATCTTCCCCCCTCCGCCTCCCTTTCCTTCCCCCCCCGCCTCCTACCCCCCTCCTCCTGTCTCTCCTCCCTCTTCTTTAGCCTCATCAAGCCCTCCCAGTTCCCCAGAACCCCCACCACCACCACCTTATGATATTCCTAGCCCACCCCCTCTCTCTCCCTAGGAGAGGGAGAAAGGAGGGTTGATTGACCCTGGGCGCACCTTGTGTGCCCAGCCCATGTGCAGGAGGCATCTACATCGCACCTCTGGTGCGTGTACAGTTTTTAGCACAAAAAAGGGTATAAGTGGCGCAAGTAAAGAGAGCCATTCGGGTTGGGGGGAAGGTAGTGGCTAGGTTCAGCTAGTGCTTCGTTGTGTTATCTAGGTTTAGTGGGCCCACGATCCATAGAGATTGTTGTATGTGGTAGAAGTTCCAGAAACTTGAATCTGATGTGGGAAAGTGTTCTGGTTGCCCCTCACACTACATCGGAATAGAGTGCAGAACAATCTCACCGGTTTGCAGCATATGCCTTCCGCGATTAAATGTTGTTACGCCGTTTGATTGAATAGCCGTTTACCGTAGCGCGTACGAACACCCCACCCAGCCTGGCTTCAATCGAATTACCACGCAGATTAGGTCACCTTCAGAAGTTTGGACGACAACTGAAGTTTGGACAAGAGAGGAACTTTTCCTTTCTCTCGGGATGACAGTCTAAATATCGGGTATACTCGTGTTATTAAAGATCGAGTTCTCCTACATTCCCCAAACCGAAGCAGTATTTTGAGACTCGACAACTTCGCCAATTTCTCGCTAAAACACACTGTTACAGTGCACATTTAGGTGGAGATCTGGGCCTCGGCAAGGGGAAACTGGAAAAACATTTAGGGTCTGCTGTTTTTAGGGTAAATAGGTGTACGGATTGAGAATCCAACTTTCCTGTCCAAACTTTGGTTGTCGTCCAAACTTCTGCAAGCCATCGAAGTAAATGTTTCCTCCTTAGCCCCAGGCTTCCGCCCGTGGAGTACCTTTTATTTTGCGCATCTTACGCTTCTCAATTTTGTGCTCCGTAGCCCTCCCCCCCCTCCCCTTCCCCCCTAGCATCCTGTCCGTTTCGTAAACCAGCGCGCTTGCCAGCCGATCGCTAGCTAGCCAGCTCGTCGCCAGCCAGCGCACCAGCCAGCCTCCCAGTGCGTTAGCTAGCCCACTGCCAGCCAGCGCGTTAGTCAGCCCGCTGCCAGCCAGCGCACCAGCCGGCCCGCTTGCCAGCTCGCTAGCCCGCATGCCGCCCGCCAGCTAGCCAGCACGCCGCCCGTTACTCTCAATAATGTTTCTCGGAGGCTCTTGTCAACGCGGTAATGCAGCGCCGCCATAGAACGCAACATGGATGATGGAACGAGGGCCCGAAGCGGTATCGTGAAGAAGTCACGAAAGGCTATCGTGAGAGCGCGAAGCGATATCGTGCAAGTCCCCCTGGAAGAAGCTTACCGTGGCTGGTGTTGGTAGTAGAGTTTGTCAAGGTCAAATCATTAGAACGCAACTAGCGAGTTTGGACTCCTATTGCTCGCGTAAGGCGTGTTCGCACCCAAGAGTCTAGGCGATAGCGTTTCTTAGGTACTAAGCCTACCTAGTTGTCTGTGGCCTTGATTCGCGGATTGAGGCGCTTAGACGTCTCCTAGGGCTTGGTGCAGAGTAGGGATCTATTTTTGAGGCGCCTCAAAAATAGACTCCTCACGCTTGGTGCAGAGTAGGGATGGGGCGGCGGAATAAAGGGCGGGGAGGGCAGCGCAACCAGCATCAGTGGCATCTCCATCAGCAGCAGACTCAACCCTCCCAGCTGCAGCAGCGGCAGCAGCGGCAGCAGCAGCAGGGGCTGGAGGAGGAGCGGAAGAGGGAGGACCCCGCGAGCTGCGCGATTCAGAATGGCGTGCAGCAGCAGCAGCAGCAGCAGCAGCAAGCGTGCAACGACAACAGGGCTGCATCCGCCATGCCGCTGCGCATCGAAGCTAACCAGGCCGGCGACGTGGCTGCAGCAGGTATGTTTGAGGCTGTATTGCGTTGGAGTCTTATACCGCGGATACGGATGGCGCATGGGGCAGCTATGACCTGGTACATACACCGGTTCAGCTAACCTAGTGTGTAAAGCGGTCCTGGTGGCCTGGTATATACACCGGTCCAGCTGGCGCCTGGCATGTGTAAGACTTAGCCAGTCATCTGTCGGCGTCACCTTGGTGTCACCTTGGCGTCACCTTGATGTCACCTTGGCGTCACCTTGACGTCACCTTGGCGTCACCTTGATGTCACCTTGACGTCACCTTGACGTCACCTTGACGTCACCTTGGCATCACTATCTTGTCCTGTCCATGTCCCTTCCACCTGTCGTCCTTTGCCCTGACCCCGACCCCCCTCTCTCTCCTCTCTCTCCGCCACCCCATGCCCACCAACCCCATGCATCCCTCCACGAATCCGCCCCATGCACGCACGCAGTACCAGCGGCGCTTATGGCTTGCCGTGGGGATGCCACTGTGGGCAACGAGGGGGACGTGGGGAGCCGTCAGGCGGAAAGCGGAGGGGGAATGGAGGGCGTTTGGCAGCAGTGGCAGCAGCTGCAGGCCAGCATGGGGCGGCAGATGGAGTAAGCGCCTTGGCCAGCGTGAGGTGAAAGGTGTGTAGGCCTCCGAAAGTGGCGTGCCTCAGAAAGTGGCATGCCTCGGATAAAGAGGTGCCTTAGACCATGACGTGCCTTAGACACGAACAGGCGCGCTGCACAGTGCATAAGAATGGCGTGCTCTCCTCCTAGGGGACTTAGAGTCGCAGGGTGTATTGCGACGGCAGCTTTTGAGTCGACTGAAAAGTCACTTTGTAAGGACCGCTCGCTCTCGTGGCGTGGATGCATGCACACATTCCCTGACCTGAAGGGCCCGGGGAACGATTGTGAGGCACTTCGCACTTCGCACTTCGCGCTTCGCACTTCGCGCTTCGCACTTCGCACTTCGCGCTTCGCACTTCACGCTTCGCACTTTGCACTTTGACCTAAAAGATGGTCACTTCGCAAGGACTGCTCGCTCTCCTGGCGTGGATGCGTGGATGCAAATTAGGAAGGGCCTATGGAGCGCTGGAGGACACTAGTGATGATGTGTGATGCTTTCCTGGGCTTGGTAGAGCCAGCGCCCGCAATCGTGCCAGTGTGTGTGCGTGTGGGTGGGTGTGTGTGCGTGTGCGTGTGCGTGGGTGGGTGGGCGTGCGTGTGCATGTGCGTGCATGCGCGCGCGCGCGCGCGTGTGTGTGCGCACGCGCTCGCGTGTGTGTACTGATCTCCACCTACTTCCCCCCCTCCCCTCCGCCCCTCAGTTCCTTGGTTGCACAGCAGGCAGCGGTAGCAGCTAGAGAGGCAGCAGTGGGGGAGAGAGAGGAAGGAGTGACACAGAGAGAGGAGAGAGTGGGGGAGAGAGAGGCAGGAGTGACACAGAGAGAGGAGAGAGTGGAAGAGAGGGAGGAAGGAGTGACACAGAGAGAGGAAAGAGTAAGCGAGAGGGAGGAGTGGGTGAGGGGGAGAGAGTTGGAAGTGCAGCAGCAGAGAGGCCTGGGCTCGATGCCTGCTGCTACAGTTTCTGCTGCGGCCAGTGGGGGGAAGGCAGCTCCAGCGGCACAGGTGGGAGGGGGACAGGGAGTGAGATGCGAGGAACGATTTGTGTGTGGGTGTGTGTCTTGGGGTGGGATGGGCGTGTGTGTGGGTAGAATGGCGTGTGTGGCTGGTTGGTAGGATGGGATCTTGTGTCAAACACATCACCCCATGTGTCCCATCCCTTTCGCTCCCACTCCATCCCCATCAACTATTAGCCCTGTCTTGTTTTTTTGTTTTTTTCGAGTAATACGCCAAAGGCTTGCCCCCTTTCGAGTAATCCGCAACGATTCCTTCTCCTCCCGTCGCCTCCATGCCACCCCATTTCTCTTTCGAGTCGACTCAAAACCTCCCTTCGCATCCATCCCAATTCCCAATTCCCAATACCCGTTTCGCATTTCGCATTTCCCATTTCTCCCCAGGTGGCTGATTTGCGGCAGAGGGAGAAGCAGCTACAGGCGAGGCAGGTGAGGCATGTGAGGCATGTGAGGCAGGTGAGGCAGGTGAGGCATGTGAGGCATGTGAGGCAGGTGAGGCATGTGAGGCATGTGAGGCAGGTGAGGCATGTGAGGCATGTGAGGCATGTGAGGCAGGTGAGGCAGGTGAGGCATGTGAGGCAGGTGAGGCATGTGAGGCATGTGAGGCAGGTGAGGCATGTGAGGCATGTGAGGCATGTGAGGCAGGTGAGGCATGTGAGGCATGTGAGGCATGTGAGGCATGTGAGGCATGTGAGGCAGGTGAGGCATGTGAGGCATGTGAGGCATGTGAGGCAGGTGAGGCATGTGAGGCATGTGAGGCATGTGAGGCAGGTGAGGCATGTGAGGCATGTGAGGCAGGTGAGGCATGTGAGGCAGGTGAGGCTCGTGAGGCAGGTGAGGCATGTGAGGCATGTGAGGCATGTGAGGCATGTGAGGCTTGTGAGGCAGGTGAGGCATGACGTTTGAGTCGACTCAAAAGTCAGCTACAGGCGAGGCAGGTGAGGCATGTGCAGCGAGAGAGGGGTCGGCAATCGGGATGGTGTGTACTTAGAGGGGAGGTGTCTTTTGAGTCGACTCACATGGCTGATGAGCCGACTTAAAAGTCACCGTGGACAGTCTCATGTCTTGTCTGAAGAGCAAATGCTGGCAATGAAAGGGGTCGGATCGGAATGGTGCGGGGGGCAGTGTATATGAGTTAGACAGACAGATGGCCAGAGGATATGCGCACAGACTGCGCAGTGCACGGTGGTGACTTTTGAGGCGCCTCAAGACTGTGCAGTGCACGGTGGTGGCTGAAAGTCGACATTGAATGTAAAGATGCCTCATTGGTTGCGGAATGCAGCCGGAGCTAATTCCGTTCATCCTTGATCCTTCACGCCTTGTTCATCCTGCTTCGCCCGCCTTCCCCGCCCCTCTCTACCCCTCTCTACCCCTCTCTACCCCTCTCTACCCCTCTCTACCCCTCTCTACCCCTCTCTACCCCTCTCCACCTGTCTCCACCCCCCAGGCAGCAGTAGCGGCGCAGCAGATTCAGGTGTTTGAGCTGGAGAGGCAGCTGGCAGGGCGGGAGAGGTTGCAGCAAGAATGGGCGCGATATCGCCTGCAGCTGCTTTCTGTTCCATCAAGCCTTGTCGTTTGCTGCTTCTCCGTCCTTCCCCATCCCTCTCTACCCCTCTCCACCCCTCTCACCCTCCTGCCTTTCCCCCAGGCAGCAGTGGCGACGCAGCAGAGGCAGGTGTTTGAGATGGAGCGACAGCTGGCAGGGCGGGAGAGAGCTCTGGAGCAAGAGTGGGCGCGGTACCGCCTGCAGCTGTGCAAGATGGGGTTGACGGCCCAGGGGGGAGGGGCGAAGGGGCAGGGGCAGGGGGAACGGCAGGGGCAGGGGGGAGGGCAGGAAAAGGAAGGGGGGCAGGGGCAGGGGGAAGGGCAGGGGGAAGGGCAGGGGGAAGGGCAGGGGGAAGGGCAGGAAAAGCAGCAGCAGGGGGTTAGACGGGGGCAGCAAGAGGCAGAGCAGCAGGAGGGCTTGGCAGCAGGGGAGATGGGACCAGCAGTGACTGCTGAGCGGACTGGAACGAAGGAGGAGAGGGAGCAGCAGGTTGAGGGTGGCATGGAACTGGATGCGGGGGGGGAGGAGAGGGGGGAGGAGAGGGGGGAGGAGAGGGGGGAGGAGAGGGGGGAGGAGAGGGGGGAGGAGAGGGGGAGGAGAGGGGGAGGAGAGGGGGGAGGAGAGGGGGGAGGAGAGGGGGGAGGAGAGGGGGGAGGAGAGGGGGAGGAGAGGGAGAGGAGGGGGGAGGAGAGGGGGGAGGAGAGGGGGGAGGAGAGGGGGGAGGAGAGGGGGGAGGAGAGGGGGGAGGAGAGGGGGAGGAGAGGGGGGAGGAGAGGGGGGAGGAGAGGGGGGAGGAGAGGGGGGAGGAGAGGGGGGAGGAGAGAGGGGGGAGGAGAGGGGGGAGGAGAGGGGGGAGGGGGTTGTGGGGATGCAAGAGGGGGAGGGAAGTGAGGGGAGGAGAGGGGTGGGTGAAGACGGTGGTGCTGTGGGGATGCAAGAGGGGGAGGGAAGTGAGGGGAGGAGAGGGGTGGGTGAAGACGGTGGTGCTGTGGGGATGCAAGAGGGGGAGGGAAGTGAGGGGAGGAGAGGGGTGGGTGAAGACGGTGGTGCTGTGGGGAGTGTTCATGGTGCTGCTGGTTCCAAAAGTGGTGCGGGTTTAGGGGGGAGTGGAGAGGGAGTAGAGGTGCTGGGGGCGAGAGCGGGGGAGTTGGGAGGCGAGGGGGGAAATGGGGAGGAGAGACCGGGGTTGGCGGGGGAGAGGGAGAAGAAGGTGGGAGGAACAGAAGAGGGAGATGTAAGGATAGCTGGTACAGGTGGGGCTGAAGCGAAGGGCTGGATTGAGGAGAGAGGAAATGTGGCGATTGGGGGAGAAGTAACAGCTGTAACAGCTGTAACAGCTGTAACAGCTGTAACAGCTGTAACAGGTGTAACAGGTGTAACAGGTGTAACAGGTGTAACAGGTGTAACAGGTGTAACAGGTGTAACAGGTGTAACAGGTGTAACAGGTGGGGATGAGGGGCGGAAAGGGAAGGATGATTTGGGGAGCACTGAGAGGACAGGAGAGAGAGGAGCGGTTGGTGAGAGAGCGGTACAGGAAGGGAGTGAGGAGGAGTCAAGAGAGTGGATGCGCGAGGGAGGTGTTGGTAGTACGGCAAAGGTGGAGGAAGCAGCAAGGAATATGGAGAGAGAGGAGTCTAGAGACGGGGAGATGGGGGGAGAGGCAAGAGGTGGGAGGGAGGAGAGAGCGTGTGCAGGGATTTTGAACGTGAGGGAGTTGGCCCTGGGAGCAGGGGAGGGGCAGCAGCGGGGGGATGAGGGGGTGTTGAGAGGAGGGGAGGGGGTGTGTGCAGGAGATGGTTTGGGTGGAAGGGGAGAGGGGGATGGGAGAAGGGGGCCGGGGCATGGGGTGAAGGGGGAGCGGAGATTTTGGGGAGTGGAGGTGGGGGGTGGGGAGGGGGAGGAGAGGGAGGAGAGGGAGGGGAGGGGGGATGGGGGAGGGGGGAAGGAGGCTTTGGGAGGTAGAGGCGGGGAGGAATGTGGTGGGGTTGGGGGAGGGGAAGGTGGATGGGGAAAGGGAGAAGCAGAGGAATTGGGAGGGGGAGGCACGGGCTGGGGAGGAGGGGAGGAGAAGGAGAATGTGGGAGGGGAGGAGGAGGAGGAGGAGAGGGAGGATGGGGAGGAGGAGGTGGAGACAAGCAGTGGGGAAGGGAAGGGAACAACGAGGGATGGGGAGGGGGGGGGGCTGGGCCTTGCCAGGAGACTTCAGGATGGGGCGTGGTGGGGGAGGATGGGCAGGCGTGGGGCAAGGAGCAGCAGAGGGGGGAGCAGCAGAGGGGGGAGATGGAGGTGGCGGCAGATGGAGGCATGACAGGTGGGAGCGGGAGGAAGAGGAGGAGGGCGAGAGCAAAGAAGCAGAGAAAAGAACTGGCGCTCTCGTGCGGGCTCAACTGGGGTAGGGGGGGTGGATCTGGCCCAGAAGACATGGCCAGGGGAGGTCCTGCACCTAACCCTGCTGCTGCTGCTGCTGCTGCTGCTGCCGCGTCTAGTAATAATAATCTCCCCCCTTCTCTTCCGGCGCCCCTTCCTGCACCTTCCGGTTTGCTTATGGACAGTATGGGGAATGGCAGCAAGGGGGATGGGCAAGAGGGGGGAGGAGGGAGCATGGGAGAACCGAGTGTGGGTGGGGCGTGGCATGAGGGAGGGGATCAAGTGCAGAAGCGGCCAAAGCAAGAGGAGGAGGAGTGGGGAGAGCGTGTAGGGATCCAAGTGACTGCAGAAACAGCTTCCGCACAGCCATTAGCAGCAGAGGCGGCAGCACAGCCAGCACAGCTAGCACAGTCAGCACAGTCAGCACAGCCGGCACAGCCAGCACAGCCAGCAGCAGAAGCTGCATCAGCAGTTGCGGCCCCAGATGCGCATGAGTTCAGGCTTGATGCAGCAGTGAAAGTAGAGGCTGTGGAAGAAGCAGCAGGTGCAGGACCAGCAGCAGCAGGTGCAGGACCAGCAGCAGCAGGTGCAGGACCAGCAGCAGCAGCAGCAGCAGCAGCAGCAGAAGCAGCAGCAGCAGGTGCAGGAGCAGCAGTGAAGCAGGAAAGAGTTGCTCATGGAGAGTTGGGGGATAGGTGGGGTGGAGGTGAGGAGGGAGCAAGGGGGGGTTCGGAAGATGCAAGGGACGAGGGGCTAGGAGGCTGTAAAGGCGAGGTGCAGGGGCACAGGGAAAACCAGGGGCCGGGGCCGGGGCCGGGGCCGGGGCAGAAAAGAAAGCAGAAGAGAAAGAGGAAGTCAGCGGCAGCGGCAGCAGCAGCAGGGGGAGGAGGCGCTCAGAAGGGTGAGGAAGCAGCTGAAAATGGAGAGTTGAAGGAGGAGAAGCGGTGAGTGCACTAGTCTGTTAGTTGTCAGTTGTTGTATTGTAAACGCTTCGTTTGGTGGTCGACTGGAGTTTGTTTTTGAGGCGCCTCAAGAAGCGGTGAGTGCACTAGTCTGTCAGTTGTCAGTTGTTGTATTGTAAGCGCTTCGTTTGGTGGTCGACTGGTGTTTGCTGTGAAGTTTATAACGGTGCCTTCCCTCTCCTTCTCTTCGCTCCCCTCTCCTCGCCTCCCCGCATCTGCACCTGCTGCGCCTCCCCCTCTTCTTCCCCTTCCCTCCCCATTTCTCCCGCACCCCCTCCTCCCCACTTCCCCCCCGTTTCCTTCCCCCTCGCCTTCAGCCTCTTTACAGCAGTAGCGCACTGAATTCAGATGCGCTCGGGAAGAGGGGGAGTTTTGATTCACCTGCTACAGCTGCCTCACTTCTTCCGCCTCTTCCCACCTTACCCCCACACCCACCCACCCCCTTACCCTCCCCCTAACCACGCGACAGCAGCAGCGTCGTTGGAGTCAGACGCACCGCCCGTGCTCCATCTGCACCTGCTGCACCTTCCCCCACCTCTTCCCCTTATCCCCCCCTTACCCTGCAGCGCACGCCATGCCCCACTTCCCCCTCTCCCCTGCAGCCACGCGACAGCAGCAGCAGCGCTGGAGTCGGACGCGCCGGACCTGCTCCCGCCGCACCTGCTGCGAGGAGTCTATTTTTGAGGCGCCTCAGAAATAGACGCCGCACCTGCTGCTGCACCTCCCCCACTTCTTCCACTTCTCTCCCCCTTCCCCCCTTCCCCCCTTCCCCACCCCACCCTTCCCCCCACCCCCTCCCCCCCCCCGCCCAGCCACGCGACAGCAGCAGCAGCGCTGGAGTCGGACGCGCCGGATCTGCTGCAGCTGCTGCGGCAGAGGGGGCTGCTGCAGGGGATGCGGCTGTTCGACCTTGCATACATGCACGCTGCGCCAGACCACTCCCAGGAATCACTCGCCGCCCCCCTGGGGGCCTCTGAACCTGCTCGAGAGTCGTGTGCTATGGGTGGAGCGGCTGACATGGGCAATGGGCATGGAGTGGGGGTGCAAGAAGGGAGTGAGATAAGGGTGAACGGGGTGGATGGTGGGGGGCAGGCGGGGTGTAAGGTGGAGTGGGGCGGGGAAGGGGTGGGTGGTGTTGTGCCGGGAGTGTGGACCGAGTTTGATGACGCGTATTCTGGTGGTATTGGTGCTGCTGATGGTGCTCATGGTGCTGGTGCCAGTGCTGGTGATGCTATGGCGGAACCACAATCAGGATCAGCAGCAGGAGCAGCAGCAGCGCCAGCAGCAGCAGCAGTGGCAGCAGACGGAGCAGCGCCAGCGGCAGTATCAGTGCCGTCTGACTTCTCGGACCTGCAAAGAATCCTCTCCAAGGTACTCTACTCCACTCCCTCTCTGCTACAGCCGTCTGCTACAGCCGTGTGCTATAGCCGTCTGCAACAGCCATCTGCTACAGCCGTCTGCTACAGCCATTCCCACATGCACACAATGAGCATGGTGGTCAGAGTGCCTGCGTGCCAAAAGCCATTTGAATTGCCTCCACTGCCTATTTCACTCCCCACACTTGATCACCCTCCCCATACCCATCCCCCTCCCCTCCCCCCCCCTTCAGCTCTACTTGCACACGTGGGAGCGCCTGCCAGTGCAGGTGCCGTTTGGCTTTTGAGTCGACTCAAAAGTCGCCTGCGAGTGCAGGTGCTGTTTGCTACGTGTATAATGCCTCTCCGAGTTTCACCTCCCCCCAATCCCTATCTCCCGCCCCCCCCCCCCCCCCTCCCAGCTCTACTCACACACGTGGGAGCGCCTGCCAGTGCAGTTGCCAGGGGCAGGGGGGGGAGCAGCAGGGTGGAACCGGCCGGCATACTGCCTGGAGAATCTCATTGCGCTTATCACACAGGTGGGTGCTCGGCTCCTATTAAGGTAACCCCTTCTGTTATGCCAGGGGCAGGGGGGGGAGCAGCAGGGGGGAACCGGCCGGCATACTGCCTAGAGAATCTCTTCGCGCTTATCACACAGGTGGGTGCCTGGTGGGCCGTCTGCTTTTGAGTTGGGAGGGACCGGCCAGTCAAAAGCAGGGTGGAACCGGCCGGTATACTGCCCAGGAAGCCTCATTGTTGTGTGTACCTCAGGTCAGTGTGAGACTTCTATACAGGGACTTCCCCACTGTTGTGCTTCCTTTTCTTTCTCCCTTAGGGGATTTTCTTTCCTGAGCACAAGGCAGAAACATGTTTAAGCAGGCCCTTGTTCGTTGCTTCACTTTCCCCCTTGTCCTGCTGCTGCTCTCTCTATCCGTCCTGCTTGCTTCCCCCTCTCCCGAACTTTCTCCCCTCTTCCCAATATGGCAGCTACTCCTCAATATGCCTCTCCCTCGCCCCATCTCTCTTCCCCTCTCCGCCCCTCTCGTCCCTTCCCTATCCCTCTCTTTTGAGTCGACTCAAAAGTCATCTATCCCTCTCGTCCCGTCCCCCCAACCAGGTGCAGGCAGTGCAGCATGCGGGATGGCAGGTGTCATGCGGTGATTTTTGAGCCGCTTAAAAAATCGTTCTGTTCTCCACTCCTGACCCGCCCTCTCCCCCTGCCAGGCACAGGCCGTGCAGCATGCGGGGTGGCAGGTGTCCTGGGGGTGGTGTGGGGCCATCCGCTGCTTCCTCTTCGTCTTTCCGGACCATAACAGGTGAGACGAAAACCCTGCTTGATTGATTAACTTGTTTTTTGGAGGGAGAGCTTTGGAATCTCTACAAGCTTGTCAAAACGGCCAAGGTATAGGCAGCCTCTTACTTGGATGGGGAGGGCAAAGGGCCCCCATAAGTGGTAGGCGACCGCTTAAAGGGATGTCTGGGGGCCCTTTGCTTTTGAGTCCACTCAAAAGTCAAGAGGTAGGCGTCCGCTTGAAGGGGATATCATTGGCGCCTACCAACCATTTGTGGGGTCCCTTTGCCCTCCCCTGGCCCTTCCCCCCACACCGCTTCCCTCCCACCTACCCCCCCCCTCCCCCTCTTGCGGCCTGTCAGAATCATCCTAGAGGCGCCGGAGTACGGCAAGGCGACATACTTTTTTGAGGTGGAAGCGGGCGTGGCGGTGCAGTGGCAGCTGAAGCGCCTGCTCGCTGTCTTCGGCGCTGCTGCTGTCTCGCGCATCGACGTCATCAACAACCTGCCGCTCGAGGTCAGTAGCTTGTCGGTCTTAGACAGAACTGGTTGCAGGATTTGGGGGCCTGTCTTTGGCACTGCGGCTGTCTCGCGCTCCAACGTCAGTGCCAAACAACTTGCCTGTCGAGCCGTGGCCGTGGCCGTGGTCTGCGGGCTGTGGCCGTGGCCGTAGTTTTCCTGCTGAAGGTCAACTTTCTTGAATCGTGAACTGGCAGCTGAAGTGCCTGCTCGCTGTCGTTGGCGCTGCTGCTGTCTCACGCATCGACGTCATCAACAACCTGCCGCTCGAGGTCTGTATGTTCGTCGGTTTTGTTTCTTGAGTCAGCCAGATGGTCTCCCTGATTACTTATGTGAGTTACGAAGGGGGCGCCGAGTCACGAAGTAGCAAGCTTTTGGTTCTGCCTTTGGCGCTGCCTCTGTCTCGCGCATCGACATCATCGACGTCATCAATTACGTCCTGCTGAAAGGCCCGCAGATTTTTAACTAAGCGCTTTTCTTAGAACGTGCTGGTGTATAGAACATCATGGCTGGGCTAAGGATCTGGCAGTCTGATCTCTATTTGCACACCAAATGGGTGAAATCTGTGCTGGTACTGGTTCCTGTGTTATCCAGCACTCTCAATCAGTCCTTTGTATTACATAGAAGCAGGATATAGGCATGGCATTGTCCTTTCCAAACCTCTTTCAAACCTCCCCAAGTTCTAACCTTCACCAGCTCCCTCCCTCCTCCTTGCTCCTCCCCCTCTCCAGGTGGGCGTTGACCTATCAGAGGACGAGGCGTGTCGGTTGGAGCGGTACGGGTGGGTGCGTGGCACGGGGATAGACGCCTCGCCTCTTCCCGACCTGCTGCCCGCACTCATGCCCACCTGCCAGCCCACCTGCTTCAGTGCTCCACTCCTCCTTTCTTCTCCCCTCCCACCCCCCCAACAACCCCCGTTCCCCCCTCCGTTTCCCCCCAGGTGGGCGTTGACCTATCAGAAGACGAGGCGAGGCGGTTGGAGCGGTACGGGTGGGTGCGTGGCACGGGGATAGGTGAACTACTCAACTTCTGCGACCGCCTGAGACATGACTACTCCTACTCCTTCCAGGGGGCACAGGGGGGTGGGGGGCAGCAGGGCAGGGAGCGGGAGAAGGAAAAGGGCGGGGGAAAGCAGAGCAGGGAGGAGGAGGGAGGGGGTGAGAAGAGGACGGGTGGGAGGGGGGAGGGGAGAGAAGAGTGGACGGGAGGGAGGAGGAGGGGGTGGAGGAAGCGGGGTGTGAGATATGCAGTGGTGGAGTGGGGGGAGGCGGGCCAGTCTGGGGGGGACGCGTGCCATCCTATGCTGGCTGCAGCGGAAGAGGCAGAGAGACAGAGGGAGAGGGAGGAAAAGGAGGAGAGGGAGCAGGAAAAGGGTGGGGAAGGGGAGGAGGAGGGAAGAGGAGAGGGTGCAGTGGAGAGTGGGGAGCAGGCAGAGTTGGAGAGACAGCTACGTCAGTACGAGCAGAGGCAACAACCGCAGCAGCAGCAGCAGCAGCAGCAGCAGCAGGAGCAGGAGCATGAGCATTTAAAGACAGACGTAGACGGGAATGAGGCTGACACGAAGGGAGAGGGGTCTGAACGGCTCGCAGAGCCTGGTTGCAAACAGCCACAGCCCATGCCCGAAACCGAGGCTAATAGGCTCGGTTCTGAGCCCGAACCTGCAGGCGCGGTGGAGTCAGCATCGTTGGTGCAGTGCATAGAGGAGTGGAAGAGGCGCATAGCCCAGAGGCTGAGAGAGGGCCGGCAGCAGGGCCTGTGCTCTCGGCTGCACCGGTACTGCCAGCAGCGTGCCATACAACCGGATTTTTGTGCTCTGAATAATTCTCTGCAGAAGCCGCAGGGCGTTAGACCCAAAGGCTTTGAGGCGACCAGAAAAACTGTTGAAACGAGTGTGCAGCAGGCGACTCAAAAGGCTGCTGAGACTGGGCTGCCACAGGGGGGCAGTGTAACGGCTCCTTTACCGCAGCGGATTGACCGTGAGCTCGCTCAACTGCAGCAGCAGCAGCAACAGCAAGAGCAGAAACAACAGCAAGGGCAGAAGCAAGAGCAACAGCAAGGGCAGCAGCAGGAGGAAGATTCTGATGATGACAGGCCCTTGCAGGCCCTTGTGCAGCAGCACCGGCAGAAGAAAACGAGAAGGGAGGTGAAGCCACAGCAGCAGCAGCAGCAGCAGCAGCAGCAGCAGCAGCAGCAGCAGCAGCAGCAGCAGCAGCAGCAGCAGCAGCAGCAGCAGCAGCAGCAGCAGCAGCAAGAACAGAAGGAGCGAGTTAGGGAGGGAGGGGAGAGTCCAGCTTGTGATGTTGTAGGCACAGTGGGCAGAGGTGGGGCTCTGTGCACAGGAAGTGGTGTCTCTACCTTCTCCGAGCGCACTGCTCTGCTGTTGCAGAGCCCTATAGAGAGGGCAGCAGCTGTTGGTGTGACAGGGCTTTCAGCAATCGGACTTAGAGGGAATCGCATGGTTGGTGCGACAATGGATTCAGGCCTATGTGCTGCAGTGAGCACACTGGGGAGCACTGATTGCAGCAGCGTGCCCGCCAGCGCTCCAGGGGCAGGTGGCTTAACCACTGAGCTGTACCAAAAGAAGGAAGAGGCCGAAGACAAAGAGGTGGCTGTGCCGACTAATGAGGTGGCAGCGGAGCTGCTTATAATGGGGATGGAGATGTCATGGGGAGGGGTGGATGGAAGGGGGCCGCTGGATGAGTGGGTGGAGGAGGAGGAGGTAGGGGGGTTGATGGGGGAAGAGTTGGGGGGAGACGGGGGAATGGGAGAGGATGGGGAGGCGAACGAGGGGTTGTCAATGCAAGGTGGTATGGGTATGGCAGCAAATGCTGTGGTTTGAATGGGGGTTCCAATTCAATGATTCTGGGCTTGATCTAGCAGGAATGGATCTGCCCAGTCCACCACCACTGCATGCTTGGACTGTTAGTTCGTACTAATTTTGGCTGGCTAGCAAACATACGGTGCTACGGTACTTTCTGGTTGGAACTCGCTTATGTGTGCCTAGTGCTCTGCAGCAGTTTAGACAGCCCAAGGCGAACCGTACTGGTATGGTTTCCTAAGGCAGCCTGTAAAAGTGTATATGGTAGGTGGTTCGTGCATACCCAAACCAAGGTGGATGGGCAAAGTTCATATTCAATACTGACAGACAGTATTGCTGGTACATTTAGGCTTCTACAGTGCTTGTAACATCCACCACTGCAGTGTTGGCCATAGTAAAGTTGAGCATCATATCAGAATCATGTACTGTACGGTACTACTCAAATAATGAGCAGAAGTTCTGGTACAAATGCAGCGCTAGTAAAGAAGCTCACTGCAGGGAGTCCACAAATTCGTCCTCCTCTCCCATCTCACTAGCACCTTCCACCAATTTATTAACCCTCTCATTGCCACCACCGCTGCCACCACCGCTGCCACCACCACTGCCACCACCACTGCCACCACTCATTCCAACACTCCCCATCTCCTGCCCTTCCTCCTCGCCTGTCCCCACATCCCTCGCCTCCTCTTCTCGCTCCTCCCCCAGGACCCCAACACCTCCCATGCCCGCCCCCTCCTCACTCCCCCCTTCCCTCCCTTCTCCTAACATCTGGCTGTGCAGTGAAGTGGGCGGCTGGGAGGTCAAATGAAGAGGAGAAGAGCCCACCAGCAGAGACTGGTCAGTGGTGGTAGCCACTTGAGCGGGAGTATTTCCACTGCCGCTGCCACTGCCACTGCCACCATTAGAGACCACCCCCGCACTAGCAGCAGCACCAGCAACCCATGCAGACACCGCACCGGCACGAGCAGCACCAGCAGCGTGAGAAGTGCCAGTAGCAGCAGCAGCAGCAGGAGAAGCAGCGAAATCTACAGCCGAGCCATAGACAGAGGAAGCAGCAGAGGCATACGCAGAGGAGTGGGCCGAGCCGTAAGCCGAGGAGTATGAGACAGAGGAGGCGGCGGAGGCAGAGGAATGAGAGGCGGATTGAGCAGAGGAGTGAGCGGAGGCGGACGGGTGGGCGGATGCGGAGCGCAGGCGTGCCTGCAGGTGGCGCACCTCCTCCTCTGCCCGCTCCAGCTGCTGCTGCCGGCCCCGCAGCTCACTCGTGTACAGGTCAAACACGCCTGTGGAGTTGGGGGAGTGGGGAGTGGGGGTTGGGGGGGGGGAGGTGTGAGGCATAATGGAGGTGCAGTGAAGTGCTATGCACCAATGTTCTGATGTACTCTGCTGTGCTCTGTCTTGCATGTATAAAAATCTCTCCTTCTTTCCTCCTCCTCTCCCCCCCCTCCACTACCCTCTTCCAATCGTCTGGCTTCCTCCATTTACCTTCCTCCTCTGACCTCACCTCTCCGTCATCTCCCCTCTCCTCACCCCCCACCTCCTCTCCTCTTCCCTCCTCTCCACTCCTCCCGTTCCCTCTCCTAAAATCGCTATCCAACCCTCTCCTTCCCCTTCGCCTCCCCCTCGACTTCGTCCCCTTCCCCTCCCCTCCCTCCCCTCCCTCCCCTCCCCTCCCTCCCCTCCCTCCCCTCCCTCCTCTCCCTCCTCCCCACTCTCTCACCCGAGGTGGCCTCCATGTCTCTCTGCGCCTGCGCCAGAGCGTCCTTCATCCTCCGCCTCTCCTCCTCGCTCTCCCGCCTCCCCGCCCTCGCCTCTCTCGCCGCCTCCACTGCCGCGTCCAGCTCCCCCTGCAGTCCCGCCACACGCCGATTCAGCGCCTGCAGTGATGAGTGGCGGGGGGAAGGGGGGCGCGGAGGAGGTGGCGGGGGGAAGGAAGGGAGAGGGGGTAGGGTATGGGAGGAGAGTGGGGGGAAGTGTGATTGGTGAGAACTTTCGAAGTGGGATGAAGGGACTGAAGCACTATAGAAGGCCAGACTGTATAGAAGGGATTAATCTGTCGAGAGTTACTATTGAGTGTAGGTGGGAGAGGAAGGGAGAAGAGGGGCATTTCCGCAAACGAGAGGAGGACCCACATGCAGCTGCCGTTGCCCGTCGTGCACACTCCGCGCCGATCGCATCGCATTAGCGTCTAGATACAGTGTATCTGACCCCAGCAGCAGCTGCTCTAGCGCCCCCACCATGCTCTCCGCGTCGCGAAGCCCCTGAACAGCCTCCCTCCATCGCTCCACGTCATCTCCGCCGTTTTCTGCGACGGAAACCGTGCCAGAACCCGTCTTCGCGCTCCCAGCGATTCCTCGCGCCGCCGGACCAGCAGATCCTCCCGCAATTTCCGGCCCCACGAGGTGAGCCCCTTGCGATGTCGCGGATGTCAATTGTTGCGCCGAGGCAGATTCCGAGCCTGGTCCGGAAGACAGGGCACGAGCCGAGCCTGAACCGGGACCACGGCCTATACCGTATAACTCACGACCTAAAGGCTGGGGTGAAGGCGCAGGAGCGGAGTCGCTAGATGCTAAGGAGGCGAGCGGGTGATATGGTTTAGAGGACATGTTAGGAGCTGCCGTGGCTCTGCTTCAAGCGGCGCGGATCGGATCGGATGACGAGAGCGGAAATTACGGCGACCATAAACCACGAGCTCCTGCGCTCCAATCCCAAGGCAGGCCTATGCCTGTGCTAGTCTCGGTGCTGTCCTTTCGAACTGCACCCTTCATTTCGAACCTGTTCCCAAATCGGGATCTGTTTCAAAATCGATTCACATTGCGTACCGTCAAACGGCTCCGCGTGTCAAAAACGGGATAGGATTTTTGGGGACACGCCCTAACCCCGCTGTGATCCGTACCACGCGACCACACAGGGAGGAGTGCAACGCATAGATCAAGACTCGTACGTAACATGCACCCTCGCAGGAAATTTGTCAGTCCGCCAATTACGGCCAACTCGCGGTATGCTGTGAGTGCATGCCTGGCTGATACACAATCACATCATGCCTTCCTTTCTCGTGCATGAGCATGCGCCTCCGAGCCCTGACTATGCTTGCTCTCTCGGCCTTTCCCAAACGGGCTTGCTCTGGGCCAATCCATGGTCTCCTGAGCTGGTGTCTGGGGAAAGGCAGACTGCAGGAGTTGCGGACTGCGAAGTTGTGGGCCGCTTCCCTAGAGAGCATGTTGCTTCAGTCCTTCCCAGGCTTACGCGTCGGGATGGCCAGCCATTTTTCCTCTGCCTCGTTTCGGGACGCTGAATTTCTCGGAGCCTCACTGCCAGTTAGCCTTTCCTGGATTTTCTTCTGAGTAGACCGATTTCTACACGCTTTCTGTAAGCGTGAGGATTACAGCAGTCGTAACCACAGATTACTTGGAAGAGGAACAGAATGGCAGGAATCGACTCATGGCCGTGGGAGAGTCCGTCCACTAATCTTGCAGAGGTTGTTCGCTGCCTTCGTCCCCTCCCAAGCGACAAGGAACGCCAAAGGACGGTCGTGGGGAAGGTCGCGACGGCTCTCAGAGAGAGCCAGGAGCTGAAGGAGAGCCTAGGGCTGGCAGAAGTCATTTCCGCTGGCTCTCATGGTCGGGGAACTGACATAAGGAACAACCTCGAGGTTGACCTGGTGGTCATTTGCAACAAATTCTCTGTTGACTCGTATGATCACATGCTGGAGGTCAGTAACGCCTCGTTTATCAGGAAGATCCAAGGAGCTGAATGCGGAAGTCTCACTATGCGCGCTTTTGTCGCTGCAGAATCTTGCCGCGTTCAGTCAAGAGAACCTGGAAACGGAGTACGTTTATGTGGGAAAGCTGCGGATCATGCTGAAGATTGACGGGATCATTGTTGATCTACTTATTGGCGGCATCATGGACAAAGAAAGGCTGGTGCGAATGCATTTCATGGCCCCAAGGAATCGGAAGAAATGGGGCGCGTCTTGCTCCAAGCTTCAGCTGGAGTTTATGCGGAAGAAGATCGGCTCTACAAGTGTTCTTAGGTAGGCTTGTTGGTGAGATGGTTGTTTCTGGTTTGTTGAGGTGATTTGACGCTCAGCCTCTCTGCCTATGCAGAGATGGGATCATTCTGGTCAAGTACTGGAAGCAGGCTAGGAAAGCAGCCACGGATAACTTCAAGTGGCCAAGCTCTTGGCTGCTTGAACTTCTAGTCACCTATGCCATGGATCGGTCATGGTCAGATGACCCGTTTTGTAGCTCCTTTGAGATGTCTGTTCCGGAACCATTGAATGGTATAGGACTATTTCTTTCCACCATGCAGCTGATCTGTCTTGTGCAGTGCCGGCAAGTTCAGGTCGTTTGGACAGGGGGCAATTATGGAGGTAAGCATGCATGGCAGATGAAGCTGTTCCCATCTACTCTTTTACTCTAACCCACCTTACGCTCTGTGCAGAAAGAAATGTCAGGCCTTTGCTGGATTATGCGGAAAGACAGGATCAACCTGTGGTAGCCGACCCAGTGGATGCCACAAACAATGTGGCTGCCATTCTTTCCGTTGCAGACTGGAGTGGGCTTGTTCAAGAAGCCCAGGCCATGATTCAACATGTGGTATCACAGGAGCCTCTCTATAGTGAATTGACAGCTTCAGGAGGAGTGCGCGCACCAGAGGTGGACCAGCTGAATCCTTGCGTAGTTTTGAACGAACTCTTCCAGAAGGCAGGCATGAAAGGCCCCATATACCGGTATGACAAAGAAAGTCGGCCAGCTATTCTTCCACCGTGAGTATGAGGTATTTTCTGCAATTGTGCCAGATAGAGTGGCTTTTTGAAAAGTGACATTTTCTTGTTTTTTGTTTACCCTCCCTCCCCAGGTTCATTTCAACTGTGGAAGGGCAGCTTGCATGTCAGTGCGTTATTGAGGCTTGCAGTGACGAGAAGTTGACAAAAAAATCTGCAAAACGTTCGGCTGCCGAGAAGGCAATTGCAATTATTAATCAACATAAATGCCGCTTGTGTTTGTGATGCATCTTTAATTAGTCATTCCACTCCAAAACTTGCGGCATTGTGTTGTGTCTTTGGGTACTAGTATTATGTCATTGGTTGTGAAGCATAGCGAACTATAAGACAAGTGTATTCATATATATGTTGTGCTCCGCTACATTGCATGTTTCCCGTCTACATGCTCCTGTGCCGTCGGGTCATTCTCTCTTATCGAACAATCCGAGAATTTCGTTGCTTTTGCTGTATGTGGTCCCAAATGGCGTGGCGCCAATGCTGACTGACGTCAGGAGTCACATCCAACGTATCGCTCGACACGCGTCGCAACATCACCTGGTGGGTTTTACACCAATCGCATGCGCATTCAGCTTTTGGTTCGTGGAGACATCTTGGAGCTGCCCGGCTCCTTGCCACATCAGCTCGAGGGTTTGACGGAGGCCAACATCGGGCGTGGATGGATGTGAGAATGCTACTGTGCATGCCATCCATGTCTCTTTCTGCTGCTTTGTGACAGCGACTTGTGCAACACGCTACCGCTCACTTCCCTGCCTCACTTCGTGCTTCCCTTTCACACAACTCCCTCCTTGACACCCTTTCGCTGCTTCTCAGTCTTTCCAGCTTTCTGTTGTCGAGCTTCTGGGAAAGCCAGGCACGCAAAAGCAGGGCGCGCAAGTCCAGGGTCCTTAGGTGGTCTGGATATTGGTTTCCCATAGAGGGTATACTTCTCCGCCTGTGAAATATGGCCGCTTCAGACAAGCGCCCCTTCAAGAAGCAACACTCGCTTGGTACTTGTCTGCCCTTGTCGAAACGTTTTTCCTGCTTGAAATTGTGGCGCCTGTTCTCTAGGCGTTAGTGCTTTCTCGGCGTACTCACCCTACGTATTGTTCCTTCCGGTAATTGCGTTTTGGTTTTGCAGATAAGAGAAAATCAGAGGCAGAGAGAATTCGGGAGAAGTATCCGGATAGAATTCCTGTGCGTATTTCACCATGTACTGCTCAGTCATGCTTGTCTTTTCTTTCCGCGTCTGCTCATGTTTTTTAGCGTTCATCACTTTCAGGTGATTGTGGAGAAGGCAAGGAGGAGCAAGGCTCCTGATATTGATAAGAAGAAGTGAGTTTCTTAACGGCATGGTGAACGGTTCTGTTCGTAGAATCAGCTTGTTGATACCTTCGTAGTATAAGCCTGTTGATTATTCTGATTATTCGCTGGGCTGGTTCTGCGGTTGTATTGCAGGTATCTGGTGCCGTCGGACTTGTCAGTTAGCCAGTTCATGACTGTCATAAGGAGGAGGATAAAGCTAGAAGCGGAGCAAGCGATTTTTTTGTTCGTCCACAACACGATTCCACCCTCAGGTATGTAGTTTTCTTTCTTGGCGTTTCCAGCATGTTCGACCCTGCGTCCTTGACCTTCGGTTCTGAATTACTGCAGCTGCGCTTATGTCATCTATCTATGATGATCATAAGGACGAGGACGGCTTTCTTTACATCGTATACAATGGGGAGAGCACATTCGGCTGAAGAAGAGTAGGAGTGGTATACAGCATGTATATACATAGGCTGTTTCTACCGTGCTGGGTGTATCCTGAGTGGGTGGTCAGCTATTTTGTGGTTCGTGAATCGGATACTGATACTCCTGGCTGTTAACATCATGTACATAACCAGTTTGTAGAGAACCCTAGAATGTTGTGCCTATTTGCAGACCTTGCAGCCTTTGGCGCAACAGGTAAGGAATTAGAAATGTTTAGGGCTGACTACAAATCTAAGTGTCCCAGCAGTATGGCCTCGAGAAGAAGGGGCCGTTATTTGGAAACTAGGGGCGCATTTCTACGAAGTAGGATCCAGCGAAGTTGAATCCATCGCACATGTTACAATACAATGCAATGGTCGGAAATGCGCAATCGATGCGGTGCGATTCGGTCAAATTTCGCTGGATCGAACTTCGTAGGAATGCGCCCGGGGGTTGCGTCTGGTTGAGGGTAGTGAGATGTTCGTCATGTCAGAAGGATAACAGAACAATCAGAGACGGTTGGGTTCGGTTTGAGCAAAATCGTCTGCTTAAAGCGCGTGACCCAAGTAAGACCAAGACTCAAAGTCTTTGATTCTTGGTCAGGCTAGCGAAATTCGCCAAGGTACAGCGAAACAGAAAATGAAACGGGAGTGGGACGAAAGGACCAGGCGTCGCCAGCGAGGGCAGAGCGACGCATGGCGACGAGAGAAAGCAGGGAGTGGGAGCATGGAAGGGGCGTGTTCAAAAAACGAACAATACGTCCCTCAAATTGATATCGGGCGCGACGGACCAGCCATGTAAGGCGCAAACCGCGTACGAAAAACCCCCATTTCCCGAAACCAGAATTGAGACAGAACAGTCTTGAGCGCGTCCTGGCCTGAACCTGCTCTGACTGTGTAACACTTTGTACTGATAATACGCTAATCTTATAACACTGCAATTTCCCTACCCCAGTACGTGATATAACAACGCAACAAAATAGGAATGAAACAATTTAATGTTTTAGCAGCACCCAGATCACAACACGCTATGTCGAGTAGTATGCAAAACACAGGAATAACAAAAACCAAGGTGTTTAGTTCTAGGGCGTATATATACAATTAATTTGCACGCTGGGGACAGCCCTAAGGTCCTGCCCCCTGACTCGACAGCCTTGCCCTGTACAGTCGCAAGGTGAGGGGGGAAAGAAGGCGAGCAGGTGGGGGGAAGGTAAACAAGGGGCGTGATTTAAACGGGGGAGGATGAGACGGGCGAGGGGAAAGAGACGGGGAGCTGACGGGAGAAGAGGCAGAGGAGAGGCAGAGCAGGGCGGATAGAGAGGGGGAGCTGGGGCTGTGGGAGCCAGGATCTGGAATGAACACCAGGAGATGCAACAGGCGCCAGGGTGGGAGAAGGGGTTGAGAATGCCCGCAGAGGACTAGCGACAGGAAAGGGACCTGCCAAGGGGTTCCCCCCTGCGACGGGGAAAGAGCGGGGCAGCTGAGGGGAGAGAGAGGGGGACCTGGGTGGAACGAGGGGGTACTGAGGGGTATGCCCGTGTAGCAGCGCCCAAAGAGTGGTCATCTTCGGGGTCGGGGCGAAGGTCTGGAAGAAGTCAACCCCCTCTCGCTGACTAAAACCTCTGGCCACGTAGCACGCCTTGAAGACAGGCGGCTCTCCAGGGGGGCGCTTCACCTTGAAGAGCCACCGACCATCGATTACGTTCACCCCAGGCGGGGGAACTGCGTCGACGTAAGTGCCAGTGGACCTCCAAGATGCCATCTCCTGCTCCATGGCAGCTATCCACTGAGAGGCCCAAGGTCCCAAGGTGGCCTCAGCGTAGGTGCGAAGGGTCGGGATGTCGAAGGCGTCTGGGTCACCCTCAGGGACTAACTGCATGGAGCAGAGATAGGGAGCAGCCTCGGAAAGAAAAGCAAGCTCATATTGCCTCTCCTCTAGGACGTCACTGCCAAGGGCAGGAGCACCCCCGACGGACGGAGGACGGGCAGGGTCAAAGACCAGAGCGGTAACGTAGTCAAGGCGGCGGGTAGAGGCGAAGTCAGCGACAGCAGCGACAAGCGCGTCAAGGCGCGAGACAGGAACAGCAGGGTCGGTAACAAGAGAGGCAAGGACCCGAGGGACAAGGGGACGAGCGGCACGGAGGGAGTCAGAGAACGGAGGAGGTGCAACAGCAAGGGACGAGGGAGGAGGGGACGGGAGGAGGGGAGGACGAGACGAGCGAGAACGGAGCAACATAGGGTGGGTGGGCAGGACAGGAGAGACGGGATGAGCACGGGAGGGACGGCGAGCCCAAACGTGAGACGGAGGTGTAGGGTCAGGGGACAGTGGAGGGGACATAGGAGGGGAACGAGGAGGAAGACGGGCCGGAGACGAATCCGGCGGCGGGAACACAGGACCGTAGACAGGAAGGTCAGCAGGCGGTGGGGGAGACCGGCGGCGACGGCTGCTGCGGCTGCTGCAACAGCTGGGCCGGAACCCTTGGACCGGCAGAGGCAGGACGACCGTTGGCGGAACCCTCAACAGCAGCACCCCCAGAACCAACACCCCCAGAGCAAGAACCCCCTCCAACTCCAGCGGCACCCCCGGGAGCCGCAGGGTGAACACCCTCCTCAACGCCAGCACCCCCAGAGTCCAACGGCGGCAGCGGCGGCGGCGACTGCGGCAGGGAAGGCGGAGACACCGGGGAAGGGGGACGCGGCAGGGACGGGCCGGGGGGACCACCAGAGTCAGCAGACTCCTCAACGGGGACAACCGACGGGAGGGGAGTGACGTGAGAGACACCAGACGGGGCTGGACGAGGCTAGAGAAGAGCAGGGGCTACAGGGGGAGAGGGAGCCAGGAACAGGGGCAGGGCAACTGGGAGACCTCGGTGAGGGAAGCAGCGGTAGAAGGAGAGAGACTCATCAAAGGTGACGTCACAAGAGTGGAGGAACGGTGAGACTGCGGGTGGTAGAAGAGCCAGTCAGACGAGTCCAGGGGGAAACCGAGGAAGACACAGGGGACAGTGCGGGCAGTGAGCTTGTCCATGCCAGAGGCACGAACGTGACCAAGGCAGCCCCAGACGTGGAACGCAGACGCGTCACCGGGGGACCCGGTCCAAAGGAGGGTCGACGAAACCTGCGGCCGCAAGGAGCGGGGCCACAAGTTAAGCTGGTGAGCAGCGTAGCAAACAGCGAACGGCCACAGAAAATGGGGGGCATCGGCATGAATCATGGAGGTACGAGCAACCTCCATGACCAAGCCGATGCGGCGCTCAGCAACCCCATTCTTTTGTGGCGAGTCCGGCTAGGTGTACGACGGGGTGATGCCCTCCGCACGACAGAACTGTCCAAGTCGACCAGAGGCAAACTCGCCGCCACGGTCAGAGTGGAGACACAACACGGGGAGACCGCGGTGAAGTCGCGCAGCCACAACCCACGGGAGAAGAACGTCGGGCACGTCGGCCTTCCGCTCCAGGGGAAACACCGTGGTGTAGCGCGTGTAGTCGTCGACGAGCACAAGGAAGTAGCGCTCACCGCGCGGTCCGGGGACGGGGGCAGGGCCCCAAACGTCCAGGTGCAGGGTCTGAAGGGGGGCAGTAGCAGGGCACAACGAGGAGGAGTGAGGAGCACGGCGGAGCTGACCCTCGACGCAAGGCATGCACAGTGGCGCAGTCGAGGGAGGAAGGGCAGGGAGCGACGCGGGGAGACCTAAGACAAGACCGTGCTGGGACATGTGACGCAGACGTGGGAGAGCAGAGTGACCTAGGCGGTGGTGCCAGAGAAGGGATGGGTGAGTGAGGGACCGACACGAGCAAGCTGCAGCGACCTGGGAGGATGCACCAACTGGGGGGGAAGCAGTGTCTACGGTAAAAAGACCGGCCATCGAGTCCCGGGGGAACGTCGCAAGGGGGGAACCTAAGACAGCCTCAGAACAGACAGCGAACCGCTCGTGCCCGGGGAACGAGCACGAGGTCCTGGAGACAGCCGACACCATCCAGGTTCCTCGAGAACGAGGGAACGTGGAGGCCTGTAAGGGAGCCCGAGGGAACTGCTGGACAGGGAAGGGACGTAGAACTGCGAGCGAGGACAGGACCCGCAGAGGGGTCAGCGAGAGAGACAACAGCAGGCGCAGCAAGCGGCGTGAGCGTGGAACGGTCGCGGAAGAAGCAGGCAGAAGCACCGGAGTCGAGAGTGAAGGACAGCGAAGCAGTGGCGGAGGCCGGGGACGGAGCCGGTACAGCGACTAGACTAGGCAAGCTAGGCAGTCCTACGCCTGACGCAGCAGGGGAGGCTAAGCTACACAATGGTGCAACACCTAAACTAGAGTACAAAGGGTAATAAGATCCAGCAACACTAGAAGTGTCAGAATACAAAGCATGCAAAGCAGCACCTATCTGATCCATGTCTAACTCAAAGATCGGCACGCCCTGGCGGAGCAGGCTGTGCCAGTCGGGGAGGTCCGGGGCCGGGCCAAAGCGACGACGAAAGAGATCGTCGAGGCGGCGGAAACAGCGGGCGGTCGAGTGCGGGCGGCGGCACAGAGTGTTGCGAAGAGGCCCGGTCTGAAGCTGGTACTGGCAGGTGACAGCACCGGAGCCGCCGGTAGACGCCAAGCTGCGCGGGCCGCCACCACGACCACTACCTCCGGAGGTGCCGGGCCAGCCAGGCGGGAGAGGGGCCCACGGCTGCGGCGACTGCTGCTGGGACGGCGGCTGCTGCTGGGGCGGCGGCTGCGGCTGGGGCTGCTCCTGCTGCGGCTGGGGCTGCTGCTCCTGCCCACCAGTGGTAGCCCCCGCAGGCGGACTACCGTCACCACCACCACCACCACCACCTGCGCCACCACCCTTACCTCCCTGGCGACCACGGCCACCGCGGCGCGAGCGCTGCTGCGGGTGGACCGCAGCAGCCATCTCGGTGAGAGGGGTCGCCATGGCGACCGCAGCCGAAACGTCAGTGAACGTGCACCGGGAGGGGGCACAGCCGTGAAAGATAGAGACTGCCGGCGCACCGCTCGACTGAGCGATAGTGCGCTGACGAGTCTCGATCTCGGTAAGGGTGTCGACAAAGGAGGTGAGGGTGAGGTCACCTGGGTGCTGGCTAAGGAAGTGGTCGCGAGCACTAGCAAGGCGGTCTGGCAGGCGCATGGTGATAAAATAGAGCGTCATGCAGAAAGGGGGGGGGGAGCGCAGTGAGCTGGGCAGCAGTGCTGGCAGTGCGATAGTAGGTCTCTAGGGCACGCAGGTGAGTGGCAAAGTCTGCGACGGTAG